ACGAACAAAGCTTTCTGAGAGATCTCGGTAGCATTCGATGCAGAAATTCATCCTCTTTCTAGTGCTTATAAAATCTATACAGCACAGCCAATGAGCTCTCTGAAAATCCAAAGATTCTGCGGCGGATGCTTTTTGCTATGGTCAACTTCAGCTATTTTTCAAAATCTTTGTATGAATCCTCTGAACAAGTAGCGAATGGATAGAGCAAACCCTGTAGGATACAAAACAATTTTTCAATCCTTTCCATAGCTCGTCATATTTTTTTTTACAGAATTTTAACTGGAATATAATAATATAATACTAGGTCATTCCGAAAGTGATTTCGCTTTTTTCAAACGGAAGCCACATGTGATGGAACAAAGATTTTTAGGATGTCTTGGTAGCATTCGATGCAGCATTTCATTTTCTTTCTAAAAGTAATGAAATCGTTGCAGCATACTCAATGAGCTTTCGGAAAATTGCCAAAATCTGCGACCCAAGCTTTTTGAGATGGTCAAGTTTCACAATTTTTTAAAACTTTCATATTAATCCTCAGAAGGAGCTAAAGTAACGATTAGAAAGAGAAGACCTCATAGGATAGCTCGCCGTAATTTTTTAAGAAATTTTTTACCAAAACCACCGGTTTTTTCAGGCTTACGTCAGCCACATTCGCATCAAACACCAATAAATCTTTGAATTTGAAACTTCCAAAATGATATACGACTTGATATTGGTTTTACAAAGCGAATAAGAGTATATGTATTCGAAATATCAAATTTCGAGTTTTTCGGGTACAGGCTTGGGGGTGTTCAAAAGCATGAGTAATGATGATTTTATTCCCGAACGCTGAACGAATCGGAAACTAAAAGCACCCATTAGAAAGAGGAGAACAAGCTGCATCGAATCACAGCCGAGCTGTTTACCGCTTGATGTTCTAATGGGTTTAAGTTCACCAAGAATGGAAATTGGTAGCATCAGTTAAAATTCTATTAAAAAAATATGACGAGCTATGAAAAGGATTGAAAAACTGTTTTGTATCCTACAGGGTTTGCTCTATCCATTCGCTACTTGGGCTTCTTCAGAGGATTCATACAAAGATTTTGAAAAATAGCTGAAGTTGACCATAGCAAAAAGCGTCCGCCGCAGAATCTTTGGATTTTCAGAGAGCTCATTGGCTGTGCTGTATAGATTTTATAAGCACTAGAAAGAGGATGAATTTCTGCATCGAATGCTACCAAGGTCTCTCAGAAAGCTTTGTTCCTTCAGATGTAGCGCACACTTGGAAAAAGCGAAATTACTTTCGGAATGACCTAATACATTCATTAGTGGATTTTGAGGCTGAATCTTACACTTGAGGGAATTATCTTAGAAAGCACTTCGTATATACAAAGCACAGGTTATGGTTAACCTCTAGCGTTGTAAATCTTACAAAAAGTGAGCAACCCGTATTTACGAACGTGGTTCTTCAAGGTAACTGTATTTGAAAACTACATTGTATTCGTAATCAGCACCCTTACCTAGTTATAACAATTCCCAGCCCGGTAGCTCAAGTGTGCAAAAGATCGATAAATCAATGGTGACGAAATGTAGTCTACGAGACCAGCTCTCCCCCTAAGTTGTGTGCAAGGTTTGGTCTGTATTGGCACATACCATTTGATTCAACTGGCTTGGCTTCGGCAAAGGCGGGATTCGTGACCTAATTAAGGCTAGGCAATGATCAGAGAGCACTCGCGCGAGAGAGACGCGGGTGCGTCGCGGGCGCGAGCGGCCTTAGTTAGATCACAAAACCCGCCCTGATGGTGCCAAGCCAGTTGAATCACAGGTTACGCACAGACACACAGACACATGCCAAACAGACATTCACTTGAGTTTAAGAAATAAATAATAACAATAACAGTTGGAATTCTAAGGTTTGTCAATCTCATCATAAGATCGTAGGCATCTCCTTGCAACCGTTCATCACTAGGTGGACATAAAAGCGTGGGTCATTCACTATTTGCAGTTGTAAAGCCGATCAATTTGCTACTCTAAATGCTCTTGAATCTTTGCGTGCGCACATTGCTGCCTGAGTGCATTTTCATTGTGTTTCATACACCATGACAGTATAAAAACATGATTTCCATCAAAGTGCATGGTATAGTTGGTTACAGATAATATACATTTCAAATTCGCCTCTCGCAAAAGAGTCGAATTCCTCTCAGCTCTGAGGATTGCGCCAGACTGCGCGGCGTACGCCGCTTGTGTCGCTATGATGAAATATACCGAACGTACGCTGCGTACTTCGCGTATGCAGCGCAGTCTGGCTCAACCCTGAGATCCTTGCACTCCAGAAGGGTACAGTCTGTGCCAATCTCAATCAAGACAAAATTGGCACGGTGGAGGCCCTAATCACGCGGGTTTTGCGCCACTCTACTAGCTTGTCCAATCCTTCAATCTCTTCGCTTTTCGACAGTGCCCATGTGCAACGCTAAACCATACTGCGCAAGTTCCTAAATTTGTCTGCTCTTTTCGCGTATCTTTTGGACAACTTACCTGCTCCGTTTTGTAATTTGAAATCATTAGAGATAGTGCTCTTAGAGCATGCTTAAACTAGGCCCTTATCTGTATTGATCGCCGAACTGTGAGCATACGAACTCACGTCTTCATGAAAATCGTTCAAAATTTCAAGATCGCATATTTTGGCCAAATATCACCGCGAATGGTCACAGGTCACTCTGATTGCAGATATTATGTTTAGTACATATGTAGATCGATAATCTTGATACAGCATACTTGCTTACCCCCTATGTCAACTCTTGCACCTATAGATCAAAGTTTGCAAAAAATCGGTAGAGTCGCTAAAGGTAACTGTATTTGAAAACTACATTGTATTCGTAATCAGCACCCTTACCTAGTTATACCAATTCCCAGCCCGGTAGCTCAAGTGTGCAAAAGATCGATAAATCAATGGTGACGAAATGTAGTCTACGAGACCAGCTCTCCCCCTAAGTTGTGTGCAAGGTTTGGTCTGTATTGGCACATACCATTTGATTCAACTGGCTTGGCTTCGGCAAAGGCGGGATTCGTGACCTAATTAAGGCTAGGCAATGATCAGAGAGCACTCGCGCGAGAGAGACGCAGGTGCGTCGCGGGCGCGAGCGGCCTTAGTTAGATCACAAAACCCCGCCCTGATGGTACCAAGCCAGTTGAATCACAGGTTACGCACAGACACACAGACACATGCCAAACAGACATTCACTTGAGTTTAAGAAATAAATAATAACAATAACAGTTGGAATTCTAAAGTTTGTCAATCTCATCATAAGATCGTAGGCATCTCCTTGCAACCGTTCATCACTAGGTGGAGATAAAAGCGTGGGTCATTCACTATTTGTTCCAAGTTCTAAGGCTGGTCAATTTTGCTATTTTACTTGTGTTCACCTTATCCACCAAGTTTTTTTCTTTCACCGACTTTAAGAGGAGTTCAGAGTCGTCTTCACAAAACGTCTGTCCCAACAGAGGTCAGGCTGAACCGTTGGCGTAAGCTTGTGCGCTCGCAGCAGTATGGTTTAGCGTTGCACATGGGCACTGTCGAAAAGCGAAGAGATTGAAGGATTGGACAAGCTAGTAGAGTGGCGCAAAACCCGCGTGATTAGGGCCTCCACCGTGCCAATTTTGTCTTGATTGAGATTGGCACAGACTGTACCCTTCTGGAGTGCAAGGATCTCAGGGTTGAGCCAGACTGCGCTGCATACGCGAAGTACGCAGCGTACGTTCGGTATATTTCATCATAGCGACACAAGCGGCGTACGCCGCGCAGTCTGGCGCAATCCTCAGAGCTGAGAGGAATTCGACTCTTTTGCGAGAGGCGAATTTGAAATGTATATTATCTGTAACCAACTATACCATGCACTTTGATGGAAATCATGTTTTTATACTGTCATGGTGTATGAAACACAATGAAAATGCACTCAGGCAGCAATGTGCGCACGCAAAGATTCAAGAGCATTTAGAGTAGCAAATTGATCGGCTTTACAACTGCAAATAGTGAATGACCCACGCTTTTATGTCCACCTAGTGATGAACGGTTGCAAGGAGATGCCTACGATCTTATGATGAGATTGACAAACCTTAGAATTCCAACTGTTATTGTTATTATTTATTTCTTAAACTCAAGTGAATGTCTGTTTGGCATGTGTCTGTGTGTCTGTGCGTAACCTGTGATTCAACTGGCTTGGCACCATCAGGGCGGGTTTTGTGATCTAACTAAGGCCGCTCGCGCCCGCGACGCACCCGCGTCTCTCTCGCGCGAGTGCTCTCTGATCATTGCCTAGCCTTAATTAGGTCACGAATCCCGCCTTTGCCGAAGCCAAGCCAGTTGAATCAAATGGTATGTGCCAATACAGACCAAACCTTGCACACAACTTAGGGGGAGAGCTGGTCTCGTAGACTACATTTCGTCACCATTGATTTATCGATCTTTTGCACACTTGAGCTACCGGGCTGGGAATTGTTATAACTAGGTAAGGGTGCTGATTACGAATACAATGTAGTTTTCAAATACAGTTACCTTTAGCGACTCTACCGATTTTTTGCAAACTTTGATCTATAGGTGCAAGAGTTGACATAGGGGGTAAGCAAGTATGCTGTATCAAGATTATCGATCTACATATGTACTAAACATAATATCTGCAATCAGAGTGACCTGTGACCATTCGCGGTGATATTTGGCCAAAATATGCGATCTTGAAATTTTGAACGATTTTCATGAAGACGTGAGTTCGTATGCTCACAGTTCGGCGATCAATACAGATAAGGGCCTAGTTTAAGCATGCTCTAAGAGCACTATCTCTAATGATTTCAAATTACAAAACGGAGCAGGTAAGTTGTCCAAAAGATACGCGAAAAGAGCAGACAAATTTAGGAACTTGCGCAGTATCGCAGCATTCCTCTCAGCATAACGCTCCTGCAAAAGCTTACGCTGCACAAACAGCACTATTTTCGTAATCAGCGAGTCCGAAAACCTTTACGGGCGAAGTTTCCTGTCAATCCAAGATCATCAATATTTTAGCCAAAACCCGTCGGCGAGCTTTACAGCCTTGAACGAGAAAAAATCAAAGGGCCCGAAATTCTTGGAAAACTTGCGCATAGAGGTTATCTAGTTCGCTGATTACGAAAAACACACCTGCTTTGCAGATTAGCGCCTTACTGTATGGTTACGGTAGCTAAAATTTGGAAGACATCGATTCTATCAAAATTTACCGGCCTATCTTTCTCTATGAAAAGGGGATCCTTCGCTAGTCGTTAGTACATGATAATCTACCGGAACAGCTCTACCGAGTCGTGTTTACTTGAATACGTGTGTTCTTCGCTGAGTTACACCACTACGAAAACCCGTCCTCACACGAAAATTGAGCAGACTGAAAACGGAATAGTATGAGAGTGCAGTTTATGAGAAGATTCATCTTGACGAGCTGAACATCATGCTTTCTTCAGATTCGTATTTTATGCATTCTGAAGGAAGTTACGAAGAAAAAACGAAAAAAAAAACGCGGATCGTCAGTTTTTGCGTTTTCTGTCGAATAATTAGTGTGGGTACTGTACATATATCTCATTATTTAGAGTTACAGCGGTACTTTCGCAGGTTCCTCGTAGGTTCCTTAGTTTGAAAGACGTCAGTTCCAATCAGACATGAAAAAACATGTGGAACAATTTATACCTGTGACAACCCGCATAACTGTTATAACGGTCGTTTTTTTGAAACTTGCAGATCAATTTGGCTTTATAAGGCGCCATGCAATCTTCTTCAAGTGCGCACAAGACATACCTGAAGTAAATCATTCATCATAGTTCAACAGTCAATCTCAATCACCATTTCAGCAGTTCAAGAGCGTCTGCAGTTCTAACAACAAATGCGAAGTTAGCATCGAGATTCTCAGTCGCCTTAATCTTACCAATATCCGTTGGAATGTAGCTGTACATCCCTAAATGTGTAGTCAAAATTTTCATCAAGCAGATTTTTAGCTTTTTGTCAGTTTTGCATAGGTTTTCTGATATCGTTTCGATCAACTGATAAGTAGCGACTCTCTCATAATGTGCGCAGAGTTTGACACAGATGTTTCTTAACTTGGCATCTTGAAGCACGCGTAATGCAAAGAAACGGCCAAGTCTTTCATTTCCTTTCTTAGATGAGTTAAACTGTTATCGTTCATTAGCAAGTTCAGGGTACCGTTTAATGAAGCGGAGGTAAAATCCGTACCAAGATCCCTAAGTTGTAATTATTTTGGGATTTGAAGCCAAGCTAAGAAGTTTTGATTATTCTATTTCTCCCAGAAAATCTTAACGGACCTCCAGCCTGGTCATCGTACAGTAGATACACAACAGTATTCGAGAGGAATTTAGCGAATTTTTCTGGGAGCCAAAATCAAGAAATATTAACCAAAAATGCAAAAAATATCACTTTTTCGTATTTTTAAGTGTTATTGATTTTTTTGATCATCAGAGCAAAACATAATTTCGAGGCTATGTTTACTAAAGCTTGCAGATATACAATCACCTAGTAGTGTTCATACGTGGGAGGGGTTGAAGGTGAAATTGCTAATTTCGGATGTTTATTTTCCCATTTTCTATGCGCAAAAAAATCTTGAAATGCATCTATGAATAAATGCGTTTGTTGTATGTAAACCAACTCGGGGTTCCGTGAGTGCTCTACAGGAGCAAAAGCGGTTTCTTTTTGGAACTTTTAGGAGTAGGAAAATTTTAGTTTTTGGCTTCAAACTTTACGTGTATTAAGACATAAGCGGGGGTCATTCTGTAGAGCTTGCCTCTCTTTATAAAATGGTACCTTAAATCTGCTAGGAAAAGTTAGACAGCTAAGTTATTAAAAAGTTTACTTTTAGAACAACCTAACATCATCACCTCAAATTTCTATGGCATGATTTCGTCCCGTCATATTACAAAATTGGAATCAATTTTTCTTTTTGGTCAGCTCTAAGCGTAACTAGTTGAGCTGGAGAAATTTTCATAATGTGGAGCTCCTCCGACCAGATCTTAGCTCACCAGTTTACTCGTTTGGTGGATGATTTTATACATCATCAAAGTATCGTAGTTCAACTAAATACGTTTACCGACTAACAAAACATTGAAGAACTTTTCATATTGGCTCGTAGTAAACTCCCATCAGGGCATCTCTCTTGAGGCGGACCGGAGTTGATCTCATCGCGCCTCAGCACATTGCCAGGGGAGCGATTGATTTCGACAGATCACTTACTGGACGATCGCGTTTTCAACGGTGGAACGTTTCTACCATTTGTGCATTACTAGTCGAATGGATACGACTAATGCGTTTCAAGCGGCAGAGCTGTGATTCGAGTGCGGCTAGCGGCACCACTTTTGTTACTCGGCCTGGCGACCTTTGATAGCGGCCGTTGTCGAAAAAATCGATGATAACCGCTTGCAGAGATTTCACCAGGCAAACAACGCGATAAAACAAATATACAATATTTTGGCCTTCATACGAGGAAAAATCACACTTGGCGAAAAATGGTTAGAAAGGTAAATTTACTTTTTTGTTATCTGAAGCGGTTCTTTGAAAAAAAGCAAAAACTACAGGAAAAATGCAAAAAAACTTTTTTTCCGATTTCGTCGCGCAATCAGCTGTTCATCGATCCTCACTCACTTAGGCGCCCAAAATTGTGCAGTTTTGGGAGTTTTGCACCGCAAAAGAACGTCAGCTGCGGTGTTTCGTAAGTTACTCGGGAGCAACTTACGGAGATTTTCTCTGTGCTCTCCTCTTTAGCACAGTATTTATCCTATGTCGTCGCCCGGCTCATCTTTGATGACTCGGTTTGGAGCTGATCTCCCTGCCGGGCTTCATCTGAAGCTCACCTGTAGGGTGACCTTGCATACTTGCACCACCTTTTCCGTGGTGCAAGTATGCAATGTCACCCTACAGGTGAGCTTCAGATGAAGCCCGGCAGGGAGATCAGCTCCAAACCGTGGCCAGTCCTCATCACACCCAACAAAGCCTCATATGAGGGCCTCAGGAAAAATCATCTCTCGTGACCGAGCTTTACTACGGGCCATTATTTTTTTAACATGAACGAGAGAAAAGAGGTCGCAGGAAATGTGGAATAACAGTAATCATGGATATGTGTGTTTGTTGTCAAAACAGTATCATTAATAATGCTGAGCGGTGCATCGAGAGATCAATGTTTGTACAAACTGTCAGGGTGAATTTAAAGGCAGTGTCTCACCCAAATTTAGTTGCCGAGATTTTTGCATTTTGCAAGCCTGTCGGACCCTGTCTAGCACTGTGTGGGCTTAAAATCGCACGAAGTTCCCAAAAACCCCGTTTTCTGGAGGCCCCGCGGAAGCAACAAGGACGAGTTGTGCCTTCCAACTTCAGCCACAGCCACAGTGGCAGCAACAGAGGGGAGGTGGATGCGAAGTGGAGGAACACGTTCAAACGCGTAAGGGGGGAGACCGAAGGAGTCGTCCGCGCGTACCAACTCGCTCTCCGCGTACCACTTTGAGCGATTTCTTCTCAGCGTGGAGGGGGTCAAATTGAGTGGGATTTGTTGCAATGGCCTATTTAGAGGGCCCTATGATAGAATATGTGAAGATCCGCGCGACCCAACTTTGGTGAGACACTGCCTTTAACCTTGCCTATTAGGGTAATTTACCTTGAAGAACCACGTTCGTAAATACGGGTTGCTCACTTTTTGTAAGATTTACAACGCTAGAGGTTAACCATAACCTGTGCTTTGTATATACGAAGTGCTTTCTAAGATAATTCCCTCAAGTGTAAGATTCAGCCTCAAAATCCACTAATGAATGTATTAGGTCATTCCGAAAGTAATTTCGCTTTTTCCAAGTGTGCGCTACATCTGAAGGAACAAAGCTTTCTGAGAGACCTTGGTAGCATTCGATGCAGAAATTCATCCTCTTTCTAGTGCTTATAAAATCTATACAGCACAGCCAATGAGCTCTCTGAAAATCCAAAGATTCTGCGGCGGACGCTTTTTGCTATGGTCAACTTCAGCTATTTTTCAAAATCTTTGTATGAATCCTCTGAAGAAGCCCAAGTAGCGAATGGATAGAGCAAACCCTGTAGGATACAAAACAGTTTTTCAATCCTTTTCATAGCTCGTCATATTTTTTTAATAGAATTTTAACTGATGCTACCAATTTCCATTCTTGGTGAACTTAAACCCATTAGAACATCAAGCGGTAAACAGCTCGGCTGTGATTCGATGCAGCTTGTTCTCCTCTTTCTAATGGGTGCTTTTAGTTTCCGATTCGTTCAGCGTTCGGGAATAAAATCATCATTACTCATGCTTTTGAACACCCCCAAGCCTGTACCCGAAAAACTCGAAATTTGATATTTCGAATACATATACTCTTATTCGCTTTGTAAAACCAATATCAAGTCGTATATCATTTTGGAAGTTTCAAATTCAAAGATTTATTGGTGTTTGATGCGAATGTGGCTGACGTAAGCCTGAAAAAACCGGTGGTTTTGGTAAAAAATTTCTTAAAAAATTACGGCGAGCTATCCTATGAGGTCTTCTCTTTCTAATCGTTACTTTAGCTCCTTCTGAGGATTAATATGAAAGTTTTAAAAAATTGTGAAACTTGACCATCTCAAAAAGCTTGGGTCGCAGATTTTGGCAATTTTCCGAAAGCTCATTGAGTATGCTGCAACGATTTCATTACTTTTAGAAAGAAAATGAAATGCTGCATCGAATGCTACCAAGACATCCTAAAAATCTTTGTTCCATCACATGTGGCTTCCGTTTGAAAAAAGCGAAATCACTTTCGGAATGACCTAGTATTATATTATTATATTCAGTTAAAATTCTGTAAAAAAAAATATGACGAGCTATGGAAAGGATTGAAAAATTGTTTTGTATCCTACAGGGTTTGCTCTATCCATTCGCTACTTGTTCAGAGGATTCATACAAAGATTTTGAAAAATAGCTGAAGTTGACCATAGCAAAAAGCATCCGCCGCAGAATCTTTGGATTTTCAGAGAGCTCATTGGCTGTGCTGTATAGATTTTATAAGCACTAGAAAGAGGATGAATTTCTGCATCGAATGCTACCGAGATCTCTCAGAAAGCTTTGTTCGTTCAGATGTAGCGCAAACTTGGAAAAAGCGAAATTACTTTCGGAATGACCTAATATATGTATGAATGAGTGAGTGATTCGCAAGAATTTTTGAAGGAAGATGTTTCTAAATTTTGAAGATCTCAAAACTTCGACACGAACATAGGTGAAGCGGACATCTATATGCCACCTTGCAGAGCGTGCTTTGTTTATCGAGTGGTGGTCTGAAACATATTAAGAAGTTGAATGATTTATCACGGTGAGGCTTAAAATTCAGAAATTCATGAGACAGTCCATTATATGGCTTCAGTACATGCGCCAAAGCTTTTGGAAGCGAATAGCGATCGTTGCTTAAAAATGTCCATTCTTTTGCACCTGATACTTGCTTACTTGCTTACATACTAAACTCCTACGTACCGTCCTGACCAAGCGAAGCCAATCTTTACACTATGATTGTTGTGAACTTCTTTCAAATTGCACCTACTTCGTTGGCTAATTCTTTACCTGGATGAGTAACGGCAAAAATGCTATGGCTCGAGTAAAAGTGAAGCAGGAAAGCAGGCTGCAAAGTTAATTACAATTTGTAAGATGTCATATAAGTCAAAAATATTACCTTTCTGCACTGTGGAATGGCTGTTGTAGCAGGGAAGAACGACCTAAAAAATGGATTTCAGAGCAAAGAAGTGAGGAAAGAAGGTGTAGAAAAACTTGTGCCAATAGGTTTTGCTCCCGAATTTACTAGTTCTTACTCGCACGCAAAGATAAGTTGAGTTTTGCCCAAGCTCAATAGTCCGCAAAGAGATACTTTTTGGGATTACTTCGCTTACATTCATAAAATTCGTGACCAACTAACTGCTGCTATTTGAACCATAGCAACAGGATGTTTTCGTATAGTTCATGTAGTTTCTTAATTGTTACAGGCATGCCGTCGTACTCGTTAAGCAAGTAAAGTTAGCCTGAATTAGAACTCACCAAACGCAAGGTAACAAAAAGATGCATGCACTGCAAATTTCCGCCGTGTCTTACTATTTCGACATAAAAAGGTAACAGGAAAACTTTTCTGACTTTCTGCTTAAGACAGAAAGATTGCATTGTAAAAAAATCGGCGAGTTTAGACGACGTACTGCCGCCGTCGCTGCTGCATCGAACGTGGAACGCTGCTAAGGGCATAGTGGGCTTGGAGCCGCTTTTAGGCCACTGTATCAAGTGCTGCAGTAACGTAAATCAAAGTGGTCCTTCAATTAAATCATCCCCTGCTGAGTTAAGCCAAACTGGAAGGCGTTTGCGTGCGCGCTGGCAACGCGCTCAGTGTTATACTGGTGTTACGGTTGCGGCATGAAAAGCTGCATTGGACGTCTATATCACTGCAGCATGCCCAGCATGAGTGGCGTATGCGGCGCAGTGTGGCCAAGCTTTTCAATATCGCAAGAATTTCTTGCAGTGACTGTTTAGTGCGGTTTCAAAGTCAAGATGACGCAATGATTTCGTAGACAAGTGAGTTCTGCAAAGTCTGTGGGAAACGAAAATTCTATCTTTAGAATAGGCAGTATCGTTTGTTCGTTGACCGCACGGATAGACATCACTGCGGAGCATGCGCCGCGTGTAAAACGCTTGCCCCAGCACAAATTCGTCGTTGTGCTTCCGCAACTTCAGCCGCGCCGCGAGTGGTTGGCAGAGTTTGAGCAGTCCATGTAGTAAACGAATATGCGATATTTGTGATGCTTTCGTGATCATAGTCTTTTGTATTTCAAAATAAATCTGCAGAATATTATTGTTCTGTTAGTAATGTAAATGATCCGTAATTCGTCATAGTGATCTGCACTCGCGTAGTGGATTGCAACCTCAGAGTGCTCGAGAAATGAGCGCTATAAAAGGCACTCATTGCCTTAATCAGTTCTATTGATCGCTCATCCGCCTCTCATATTTTTACCGCCCCTTTATTAGTCTCTAATAAACCTTGATTCTTCCTGTGACGCCCAACAGAAGAAGACGACAAAGAGTGCCCGAGACTTGAAGGGCAATAAATATTATAAGATTGCAAAATTTCTAATTAATTGGCAACAAGACGTATTCGTTTTTCTGCAACAACTTGTGAGGGTAATATTTTCCAGAGGATCAAAATGTAGCAAGGTTAGATCTCTGGTGCCGTATGATGCTTTCAAACTACAATGTTCCTTCGGTGGGATGTTTCGAGTAATAGCTCAAAATCATTGGATAAGATATCCATGATATCCGATACTTGCTAAAGACGAACGCTAAAGACGAGCTAGCAGATTTTGGGTCACTAGAATCACTAAAAGTTCTGCCTTTTCTCTGACTAGTTACGTTCATATCCAACATAATCACCACAATGTATACACTTTGGGACATTGTCAAGTGTTGACTCGAGATTGGAGACGATCAAATTTTTGCAAGCTGTCTGATTTTTTGGATAGCATTAAAAATCTACGCATTTTCCGAAAGCTAGTCAAGTTTGAATTTTCACTGGATAAAAAAGCAAATCAAAGCTGTGTGCAGCAGCATGTGACGAAACAATTTTTTGATTCAGTCATATTATAACTCGTATAAATGCTGATGCAGATATTTTTGCTTATCGCGTGAAGCATTCAGCGATAAGTAAAGGGGGCCAGTATGTTCAGAGTAAGCTGTCAGTAATTCAGTAATAAAACAGATGGCGATCAAAATCTCGTGACACAAGCCTCCGAATTCTTGCAATGTTAAATCTTTGAATTTACGCTTATAACTATTCTCCGACTTTTGGGATTTTAACTGCTAATAAAAGTATAATTTGACTTGCGAAACTCGTTTTCCAAGCTTTCTTACGGCAGGTGATCTCACTGTACACGATGTCACGTCGATCGCTTCTCCATCGCACAGAAGTATCCATGTACCATAAGGCGCCAAACTCTTTCAACATCATCTTAATCAGCGTTCAAAAAGTCGTGACAAAGTAAAATCGTTTTCTTTTTTAAAAATGCTATGAGCAACTTACTGCTATGAGAAGGGGTTTCCATCTGTACTGCGTTAAATCATTTACGTAATGCGGATAAGCTTCAAATGGAAAACTGCGCACTTTCACCAGGCACTTTTTCTGAAATGCCTGAGTTAAACAAACTCGGAAAATGCTTACCTCTCTAGGCGCTTCACTTGCAGTTCCTTCTTTGATTTCGATGTGAGACCCAAATCGTAAACAATTACTTCCTGACGTGGCCAGAGCCTGCGGAAGTTCGCAATCTGGAAGAAAGACAAAGTTGTCTGGTTGCAAGGTTTTCTCATTAATGATTGACATTTTCACTATTTGAGCCCGCGCGTACACCTCGCTGACGAAGGGAACGAAGTTGTGAGAGATGCCCTCTGGGTATCCTGAGAATATATACCCTTTGTTTTCTACCCATCTTCCGGAGGCTCTACTACTTGAATATTTTACAAGGAGAGGATACTTAGTCGAAAAAACCAATCCAGATGAGACATATATCATCGTGTCCTGCTGGGAGCGCTGATTTCAAATCTGTCCTCCTTATCTGCGGAGCGCCTCTGGATGAGGAGCTATGACCGATTAAGGGCCAAAAATTGAAAGGGTAAAGAGAATAAAATTGATTGTTACAACAAGTATATTTCGCAGAAAGACTCGTTTTAAGTGTGGTATAGCAGACAGACATTTTTCTTTGCACAGAGTAATCTGACAGACAACACCCGATTCGAGCCCAACTGGAGACTTCTGCGTATAATTTTTTTCTTCTCTCAACTTCCAATTTTCTCCACAAAAACAACCATAACTCGTTGCCCAAAGACGCTCCGCAGCTGATTTTGCCAGATTTGAAATTAGCGCTTTGAGCACGTTACGATGTTGTATGCCTCATCTGGACTGGTGCTTTCGAAAAGTATCCTCTTCCTGTTAGCATCATAAATGGCAACGCTTTGGCAGATTGACAAGCTGGTTTTTTATTGTTTGCATTGACCCCGGCTTGCTATCAGCTTACTGAAGATTTCGCTATCCTACGGATTTATGTTATTATATATTATTTTATTTATTACAAAAAAAAGGCGCCTATGACTATCAAAAGTCTTGAAAGTCATTACGAAATGAATGAAATGGAATTAGCACAGAAATGTATGACCATTACTGAAGAATGTCAATCAGAATTATTAGGTTTAAAGGCAGTTTGATACCACCAAGCTAACATAAAGATTAATTAGAATTAGGAATACGACTACCTTTACAATGCCGAAATCAAAACCATAGATCTTACAACGGAAGTACTTTCAATGGCCGTGGCTGTTTGATATGGGATGCATATCATCTGAAGCAGCTTCGAACGCTGATTTCAAATCTGCTTTCCGTTTCTGCGGAACGCTCTTTTGAAGAAAGTTGTGGAAGCCTGAACATCCTATTTGGCGCTCGAGTTTGAGGGTGCTGCTAGTGTGCATTGGTGGTGCAGTAATGTAGTGGTTAGTTGCTGACATCGAAGGGGAGAGGTTGATGGTTCGAATTCGGTGGGGAGCGAACCATTTTGCATTTTAAATGTGAGTTTAAAAGCACTCTATATCGTCTGCAGACACTTACTGTAATGCCTTAGCACAAACAGGAGAGAACATCTTTTCGACTAATGACAGTGTGCATTTTTTGAGCTTTATGTGGTGACAAACATGCTAGGCCATGTTTGGTCCTGTTTTACTAGTAAGGAAGTCAAATAGAATTTCAGACTCTCATTACAAGCAGTTTTGCCAGAAAATTCTTTTTCTAGGTCACTTATGCCAAAGGCATTACAGTAAGTGTCTGCAGACGATTTAGAGTGCTTTCAAACTCATATTCAATAAGCAAAATAGTTCGCTCTCCACCGAATTCGAACCATCAACCTCTCCCCTTCGATGTCAGCAACTACCCACTACATTACTGCACCACCAATGCACATTAGCAGCACCCTCAAACTCGAGGAGTGCCCCCAAAATAGAATGTTCAGGCTTCCATAACTCTCTTCAGAAGAGCGTTCCGCAGAAACGGAAAGCAGATTTGAAAACAGCGTTCAAAGCTGCTCCAGATGATATGCATCTCATATCAAAAGGCCACGGCCACTGATAGCACTTCCCTTGTTAGTTACTTCCATATCTTACCCTCGACTTCGATTTCCCCTTTTTTACTTAAACATGCGTAACACACCCATGTTGAATCTTCAGAACAGCTTTACTATATTATCGAGTTAGTGGAAAGTTAAATGATTAGCGATTCCGTGGGTAAATTTTTAGAGATCAGGCAGATGTGCTGCCATTCATTAGGCTAGTATTGTAGTAGTGCAGTGCATTTTGATGTAGTGTCAGCGTGCCTGCATTGCCGAGATTTTGCGTTGCAAACAAATTGCTGCGCCTTTAATGCCGGCTAGTTGCGCGCGCAAAATTGGAGTAGCTTGTCCGCATGCATGTTTCACAACAATACCTCGACCACAAGCATATATAAGCTCCTGCAAGACGAAGGCGGTTTCGATTTGCAACGCGGCTGCGACATTGCTGCGTCACAGCTGCGTCACAGCCACGTCGCACATCGAACCGACCGCCTTCGTCTTGCAGGAGCTTATAATTGAGCGAAAAATCTACTACACCGTAGAGCCTCCTAAAGATGGGGGAGGAAAGGTGGAATACAATTGCTGGTATAAAGAGGTATAAGGCGTCTTTTCACAGCTTTTTCTCCCCTTCCGAAAGGGCATGACCGTGCATACGGGCGTAGCTCGGAAGGTGGTTTTTGAAGTTATGTCCTATCGAATCTAATCAATGACAAGTTTTGTGCCGGAAAACTGGGAGTTGATGTACAGGGAACGTGTGAACAGGGATAAGTGCATGCTAAAAACAATATCTACAAGAACATCTGCTGTTATCACCGATATTACTGATTTTTGCGCTTCATTCTTTATCAAGCCCAAAAGAGGGCTCTGCAAAACTGGCACCGGTCCAGCTGGATATCGCTTTTGGGACAAAAAGCAAGGGGATATCGTTTTGTGGCCGAGAAGACAAAAAGCGACTTTTTTTGATCAACTTTCGTTTTTTTAGGGTTTTCAGGTTTGGAGTTTGCAGTCAAATGAGACTTCGTACGAAATTTTCAAGATCAAAGGGGGATCCGTTTTAAAATTTCCTTGGTGCCGTGCCGAGCCCTGAACCAGAAGTATCTGCTAATCAGTGACGACCTGTTAACCACTGGGTAAATTATTTTATTGCGAAAGAGGATCTGTTTGTAGAAAGCAGATTAATCTCGAGTTTTATCATAAAATGCTGACAAAGATTGGGCGTAGCAGTACATCCGATCGGTTTACGGCAACGAACCGATAATGTATCGATGAAAAAAGCTCCGATACCAAAGGATAGCTAAATGTGCAAAAGTGACGTGTCGTGGAAAATTGTGATGGAACTTGGAGTCTGTCAACCACACTGAGAAGTAATGAATAAGTAACTAGTATGCAAAGCTTTTCATACTAAAGCGAACGTAGCTGTACCAGTGTCAGTCCCTCCAAATAGTGATTTTCAGACATGGCGGTCACGAATGGGGGCCTAGGCATCTCCTCTGATTTCAGATCAATAACTTTTGCTGTCGACAACATTCCTTAAAGATTGATTTGATTTTTTTTTGGTAAAGATTTATTATACACATACCAAGTTCGTCAAGATATGAAGAGAATTTGCAACTAAAGCGTTTTCCTTTGATTGCCCAGTCTCTAGGCAAATGGTAACAAAAATCATGCACAACATTTTTGTAGACGCAGGAACAGTTACTGTCAGGATTTTCACCAGTGAGGGATTGCTGCAATTTCAGTTCAAGTGGAGTTGACTGAAGTTGAGTAAAAGAGTGTCATTCAGTTACCATAAGTTTTGTTGGTGAAGAAGAGCTTAAGAGGTATAATACAAAGAAGGTTGTGCAAACAGCTAGTAGCAACCTGATATTGATCATTGTCTCAATCACGTGACCATTAACAAACCTGAAAGTTCTCCGAGATTTTGTGAGTTTTGTGGCTGTAGAAGCACAGTAAGGCAATATTAACCAGAAACTATGGTGATCGCCAACTTTTCCGCGTTTCGGTTGATAGCTTGCGAAAGGTTATGAATGAGGCTTGAGCCAGCAGTTATATATACTAGCTGGCAAACCCGGCTCCGCCTTGCCCTGCCAATGATATATTCGTAATCAGCTTGCTCACTTACCCCCCCCCCCCGTGCCAACTCCCAGCCTCGTAAATCGAAGTTTTTCAAAAATCGATAAAATCGATATCGATCGATGACGAAAAGCAACCTGTGACCCCCGCCCGGCCCCGAAATGTGTGTGTGCAAAGTTTGGTCCGGATCGGTTCAAAAATGGAATTTTGTATTCAGAACATACGTACACACAGACAGACAGATATACAGATTAACATACAAAAAGACATTCAGCTTTATATATAAGACTAGTTGGCAAACCCGGCTCCGCCCGGCCCTGTCAATAACAGTAATGAGCATGCTCGATTACCCCCCTGTGCCAACTCCCAGCCCCGTAGCTCAAATTTTGCAAAAAAGCGATAAAATCGATAACGATCGATAACGAAAAGTAGCCTATGACACGCTCCCCGTCCCGAAGTATATGTGTGCCGAGGTTGGTCCAAATCGGTTCAGAAATAAAATTTTCCATTCCGCATATACGTACGTACAGACAGACAGATAGACAGATAGGCATACAAACACGCATTCAGCTTTATATTAGGTTGATTCATAAATAATGCACGTTTTCTATACTTCAACTTTCAACCGAGACAATTCTTTTTTGTAAAGACATTTCTGGGCGCAGTAAAAACTATTGTAACCAACAAATCAGAGGCTATAAAATAGATGCTTTTGCGTGACTGTATCTATCACAAAAAAGATTCTCTGGCCTGAAGATTGCCAACAACTTTTTTCAGAAGCCTCCACTTTGAGAGAGCATAACTTATGTTGAAATGAAGTAGGATAAAGCAGACTTTGCTCTTCGTATAGCCAAGGGTCTCTTGAGCAGTAAGGCCAAGTTTGGGTTTAACGGAAAATATTTGAAAGAAAATATCGCGAAAAAGTCGAAAGTACTCACTTTTATCTGGCATCGCGGCGGGTTCAAAAATCGGTCATTTTTGAAATTATTTCATTTTTCTTCGCTGGAAAGTAAGAAAATCCTAGCGCTTTTCTACCATCAAATGGACTAGGTCTACCTTTGCTGGATAGTGCAAAAGACCTGCAATCGCCTTTTGCTTCGAAGTTTTATATGGCACGGAAGAGCCGCGACGATCATTCAAGTTCACAATTGAATTTCTCGGTTCAGAATTCATGAAGAATTTTGTAAACAGCATCTTGTAGCACAAAGTTTTCTAATTCTAATGCATATTTTTTGAAATTAATCCGGCTTTTTCTCATGGATTTAGGGCAAAAAGAATGAAAAGCAAAAATTTTAGGATTTAGTCTCTTTTGTTTGAAGACTCAGAACTTTGGAATGAGCGGAGATTTACGAAAGCGACGGACCGCATAAGAAAGTAGAAAAAATGCTCTTTTAGGCAGTATAAAAGGTTTTTGAGGAAATTGATTCACATCAAATACCAGCTCCTGGAAGAGGAGGTGATAAAAACGTGCATTAATTATGAATCAACCTAATATATAAGATAAATCGTCGTTTCAAGCAACTTCCTCTAACAGTATGTCCCCCAATCATGCCAAAATTAGCATGGCGAGCGCGTCGCTAGGGTTTTGCGTCGCGTTGCAACGTGCTTGGTTGCTCTCTCTACAATCCCTTCTCTCCGACAACTGCGCATATGCAACGCAAAGCCTTAGCATTGCGAGTGCGCAAACTTGCCAGCGCTTCGGAATAATCTCGATTGGTACGGGCTGTGTTCACTTTTACAATTGCCCAAAAAGAGGTATTGATTGGCGGCCTCAGCTCAACGCTATCCTTCATTGGCACGCTTCCAACTCATGATGTATTAGGTTGTTGCAAAAATAATGTCCGTTTTTCTAGGCGTATATTCCAAACGACTTTTCTCCTTCAGGCTTTCTTTTTCGATATTGATTTTGCACACCACTGGAAAGCTTTCTTCATGTACTTTCTAGCGGTAATGAAATTGAGTTTTACCTCATCTGTAAGATTTTCACCAGCATTTTGAACAGCCACACTAAAAATCGAAATTTCATTGCTCCAACTTCCTTGGCCACAATTTAGGCGCAAATAAACGAATTCTCCTGAAAACATAGCTACTGTATAGGATAAATATTGTTTACTTATTGCACGTTTAAATAAGTTTTTCGAATATACCTGAACTGACAAATCGAGCTTCAAAAAAGATACTCATTTCGCGGACATCTTATCTACAATCTATGCAGAAAAATTTAGCTATTCAGTGCATGAAGATTTCCAAGTTTTCATAGTTTGGGACTTCCAAGCCTATCACAAATAGGCTTAAAAAAGTGAATAATTTTGGATTTCTATCTTTTTTAATTCGCAGAACTTCTTCGCTAAAGTTCTTTTTATACAAACGTATACTCCCGGGTTGCGTCTACAAAATAAGCTGATTAGCAGCCATAACAACAAAACTTGAAGGAATTTGTAACCTTTCAAAAATGAGGTTTTCAAAAGCAAAACTTTTGGATTTTTGACGCATGGTTTTCTTCCCTTTTGCGACATCAGTATATGCAGGTGCGCCTTGGATTACGAAAGGTTTACTGCATCTGATGGTCTTGATTGCATTCAAAAATATGAAGACTGAACGAAGTTATAGCTTTTCAAAACGAAATTTTGCAAAACGGACATTATTTTTGCAACAACCTAATATTTCGAACCAGAAAGATCAATTAGATAAATAGTCAGACAGAATATAGAAACGGTTTTGTATCGTCAGTGTTAAAAAGACGGAAAATTTCCAAAAGTCGAAAGAGTACAACACGTAAAGTGGTTCTTATTTCTAATCAGCGAAGGCTATTGACAAAGTGTCAAAGTGTTTTGGGATTATAGTACAAAAAGAGTGTGATAGCCCTTTTCTGATACCCTAATTTCCGTACAATAAGTCCGGACTTATCTGCAGTTTCGACGCGAAAAATCGATGAAAAAACGCCTTCTGCGCCGCCAAAAGTCTACCAGATAAGTCCTAAATACACTATCAGATAAGTTCGCAGAAGATAAGTTCGCCTATCCTGAGCATGAGAAAACGGACTTATCTGCAGGACTCTTGGCGGCGCGAGGGCGACTTTCGTTGTCAAGGAAGCGGACTTAACTGTTAGTTCCTTTGCGGACTTATCTGATAGGGCGGACTTATCTAAAAGGCGGACTTATTGTACGGATCAATTTTACTAAATGATATTCTTGAGTGGCAAAGCATATCGAAGCACTCGTAGTTAATTATGACTGCTCTTACGTTCGCTCTATTTTCATCTAGCTGTGAAAATCGCAATGTCCTTTCAACACGCTAGGATAAAGCTTCCCTACTTCTACAAATTGTTCCCCTCACCCTGTAACACTTTTTAATGCTTGCGCCAAATTTTTATCGTAATAAGCATGCTCACTTAACCCTATACTTCAACTTCCAAGTCATCAAACTTTGCAAGAAACCAAACTGATAATAGTACTCTCTAACTCTATAAACAGTGCATTGTTAATCAGTATGCTCACTTACTCCACAATGCCAACTCTTAGCTCCGGAGCTCAAAGTTCGAAATATTAGAATCGATTTTGATCGATAAAAAATATTGCCCACGACACCACCCCGCTCCGAAGTGTAGATATGTATGCAAAGTTTGGTAACGGAATTTTTTATTCGGAACGTACTTACACACAGAAAGACAGACACACAGACATACAGACAATCGGATCCAGCTTTATATACAAGATTAGGTGATTAGCAAATTTTCTTTGATTGTATAGCTAACGTTTGTAGCCCAGTACGAGGGGTGTCAGATTTTGAGCTGCGATTCGTTTAGGGGAAAGAGCAAAAAGGTATCGTCCATACATACACATGCATATGCACTAGGTAATCTTCTGATATCCCCTTTCCCTTGACGAGCACGCTTTCAAAGGGTGACGAGTTCGAGCACAATTTTGAAAAGGCACGTTTTTGAAAACCATCGCACAAAGTACAGTGTGTCCCAAAAGTCTTCAAGCCTAGTATTTCCTCAGCTGTAACTGTACAATGCAACATTGACACATGAAATTCAGTAGGACTCTTGTGAAAAGCCTACAAAATAACAAGACACCCAGATTTCGAAAAACCTCATTTGACCTTCACACAAGTCCTCACAATCTTGCGGAACGCAAGCACCGTGGCAGACAAGTAGTTGACGAGGGGAATGTCTCACATCTTCTGAAGCAAGCACTCTAAACTGCTCAAAATTCAGCGTGGAACAGAGCAAGAATTACTTTCCATAACTGATCGCAGAGAAAAGTCAAGGGCTTTTGAGCCGGCGACTAAAAGCACGTTCATCTGAGAAACATGTCTGTGAGATCTAACAAAAGTGTCAAAACATAAAAAACAGCAACTGGTGTACATGGAACGACATTAAGATGATCCTTCAGTGAAAAGTGCAGAGCTTACAGCCGGAATTGGCGGCTCAAACTGATTTGATGTTGAAGTTTTCAGCTTTCTCGGGTTTTTATTTCCGAGAACTTTTTCTTCTCATAGGTACGGCACTATTTTGAGTGTTTGTATTTATATTCTACATCGAAAAACAGAGACTACTGATTAGTTTTTCTGTAAACGCAGAGAGAAGCTAGCGCTAAAATATGAACTCAAGATGCGCAAGAGCTTCAAAGGCAAAAGAGCTATAGACGCTTGAATAAGGGGTATGTTTACATTAGGTTGTCCTCAAAATCGTAGTGCTGTTTACTTTAAGAACAATATTTTAAGAATGTATAGCGCAAACGTATGATTTTGCTGAGGAATACTAACAACTACACGAAGTACTCATACGCAAAATTTGACTGAAGAGCGAAGAATGCTAACAAAGTTTCTGCGTAAGAAATTTAGGCTTGAAGACTTTTGGGACACCCTGTAATTGACTGATCAGCGCCCAGGCAATGACACCAACTTCGATGGTGAACGGAGAAGAGCTAGAAGGAATAAACTGAAGGGTTTTCGGGAACTTAAGTGAATGAAGTGTGTGACAATAAGTGAAGTTTTCACACGACTCTGAGGATTGGAAAGCTCGTTTGCAACGCACAGGTAACGACATAGCTCCGAATCTGATGTGTGTATGCGTAATGGAGAATAAGAAGAATGTATGAGCTTTTTACAAAAGTGGGGTTGAATGGATCCGCGGAAATAGAAAGTGCTCAACCTTTTTCTAAACAGAATGACGTATGCTACCCCATGCCACCCTAATGCCACTCTGCTGAGTATGGCAAAACTTGCAATTCACAGAAGTCTTCATAGATAATTTTCGCACAGATGTGTGAATTTATTATTAAGGTTTTCCTACACCTATTACACGCCATATAACCCTTTCTTGATAAGGAGCGGAACAACGTCGATGGCCCAAGAAGAAGACCTAATTAAAGACCACGCAAATGGCGCGATCAAAAGAGCAGTGTAAAATCAAAAAGTGGGTAAAGGTGTTTTTTATGTGCATTCGCAGTTCGTGCCGGGCCTGACGATGACAGCAATTGATTCTGTACATTTCCTACAACAAACATTTGGACATACCAACTCTAGAAACGCACTGAGTTGGTTACGGACCACAAGTAGGGCCGGCAGAGAGTGACTATCAGCTGGAATCGCTCATGAGTTAGAAAAAATATGATTACCCCCTAGAAGCGTACTCTGCAGCATAGCGAGGAAGACCTTCTATAAGGAAAGGAAGTGTACAGCTGAACCGAGCATAACCGTTTAGGGATTGTTTTCCACCATCACTGTGAATTCTTCAGTCAGCCTTTAAGCTCAAGCTCGTAAGTTCTAAACTTTGAGAAATTCGTAAGACCTTTTTGAGTTTGATTGGCATCTTTTGAGCGGGAATTTGGCCACAAAGTCTTCTGTCTCATTGAGATTTTCATTTTCATGGCGTAAGCATTGAGAGAAGATAAACTAATTTGTTTAACAAAGTGGATAATCGAGAAGTCCTCAATTCAATAGCAGGAAATCCTACAGTCTGTGACAAGTTTGACGGCAGCGCCTCGGCAACTTCTCATACAAAGTTTTTGGCTTACCTAGTAGTTTGTGTTACTGATTTCAAAGATATTCAGGACACAAAAATGTTGCTTTAAGCCCTCAAGTTCCAGCGATGCGGTACACTGCCTCGAGGAGAACCTATCATCTAAGGCATGAAAACCAGCGAACGAATAGCAATATGTTCAACACATAGATGCTGCGATTGACTAACACCTTGCTTATTTCATGGAGAAGTGGGTGCAAAAAGATGATCAAGTTTAAGCTAGTAAGCAACAAGCGCAGATAAGGAGACAAAGTCTTCACATTAGGGCGGGGAGCAACGACATGTAGCGTGGTTTGTACAATATTTTTTTTTTGGAATGTAAACTTTTTCAAAAAATCTGGATTAGTGTTCTTTATCCAAGTTTTTGTGATGAAGTGGTTTGACGTTTCTACTATTACTTGTCAATTAATTAGAAATTTTTATTATCAGTAAAAGACGGTTATGCTTGTTATGCTTGTCAATTATTTAGAAATTTTTATTATCAGTAAAAGACGGTTATGCTCCTACATGGCAGGTTTTTAAGAGCTCAATCTTTGACATAGAATTAGTTTCCCTGTTGTGGATATAGAGGCGATAATTGGATTTATACAAAAAGGTTTTCTCTATCCAGCAAATAACCAGAAAATTGTGATTCGTCGTTTTGAAACTGTTTCAAAAGGAATGAAATTTTCTCGCATTTGTGCACAAGGAAATGGGGGTACCTTACCTTTTGCGCCTTTCCTTCACTGAAAAATAAACGGTACTTTTCCGTTATCCGGACCCATTTTTTTAAAGAAGGATATTGCTTTTTTTCTTCTACCATATTTGGTCCCAAATTCACAGGGAGTGTCAACCTTCTGCCACTTGTCAAAAAAATTTGACATGTCATCTACATGTTCAAACAGGTTTTACCAAGCTTTTATTTTCACTACCTAACGACGTAAATTTAATCTGTATTTAAGTCGGTAATGACCCCATTTTCAGATAAAGGAAATAAAGGATTTCACAAATGAACACTTATACTTGTAACGTCATCCTGTTGTCATTGAACAGATCAGATTTGCCCAGAATGGAGAATTGTGCTAGGATTCCATTATCCATGCGGCGAAACAAGCAGCAGCGAGATACCGCAGGCCGTCATTTATAGTCTTTCCTGACTAAAATCACATGGCGGAAAGTTTGAAGAAGACAAGTTCGAATTATTGCTGAAAGCAATTGAGATGTTCTGCGATAACTTTTAGACAGTTTTGCTTTCATAGAAAACATTTGAAGAACTTTTAAGCGGTCACAAACGCTTTCTTACCTCACCGGAAATGGTTTCGAAAAAACAAGTCAAAATGGGCTAAAACGTGTCAAATTTTTCCTGATACGTGGCGGGGAGGTAGTCTTCGTAGAATCTCAAGAAATTATTCTTAGACTAAAGACCGTATGTTTTGAGAGCCTTTTGAAAAAATGGGTCCGGAGAACGGAAAAGTACCAGAAAAATAAACTCTACTCAAACAAAACCTACTTTCCAATTTCCATTGAAGTACACTGGAGATACCAAAGATTTGGCAAAAAATTGTGTGCAACATTAGTAGGAGCCGCAAAAACGACCGAACCTATTTATCAACACTTTAATATATTTGGAAAGGGAAATAAAAAATTAACATCTGTTGTCGCTTCATTCAAAGCAGTATTAGAATATGAATGTCTCAAAAATATGAAATTTTGCATTTTCTTGAGATCTGTCGTGTTTTGTTATCCAAACAGCAGTGAATCATTTGCATATCTAATATATAAAGAATCGTAAGCGCAATTCAAAAATGTGCAAATAGTGGGAAACCGCGTGGCGGTCCCAAAGCGAATGCTTTTCTAGAAAGCACCTTTAGATTTCTGGTTCACTAGTTTTCACATACAATTCGGAGAAAAAGAGGCGATGGAAGAGATCTCGCAGTGATGCTTTTTGCTTTGAACGAGAATTATGCTGTCTCTAAGCGACGGCCCTATGCCATGAATAAATGTATTGTAGGAGTCGATGATTTAGAGCCTAGCGGGCACCAGATAAGGACGTGAAATGCACAAATGATGCTTCATTAGGATAGTTGGATTGCGTAAGAATCTCTGGCTCAAAGTCACATTGCTTTTTGCTGAACATTGCGTCTATTGAAAGCAAATTATGCCAGTGAATATAAGGTTTTAGAATGCAGATTATTTTGAATTGAAAGGTCAAAGTAAATATTACATGTACTGGTATCGCCTATGACTTAAAAAATGTGTAACACGTGTCATATTGCTTCAAATCATCATTTAATTATATATTGCACAATTACATCACTGATGCCTTGTAGCAATATCTGCCAAATCGCTCTTTAAACTATATTTGAAGGCTACTTTCAGCTTTGGAAAAGGCCAAAACTGAGTACATTATTTAATCTTCATTAAGAAACTCCTAATTTTTCCGTCTCTTTATTGTAAGCCTTAGATGATAGAAACTAATTTGTGGATAAAAGCGAAGGGTAATTATGTTTTTACATTGGTGTCGCTGCCGTGGCAAAATCTCTATTATGCAGAAAGGTATTATCCTTCAAGGATCATGTTGTACAAATTGTCTGACAGCATTCCGAGCCTTACTGAGATTTTGAAAGTTTTCAATAGTTGCAAAAGCGCTATTCTGTTTTATTCGCACAAACTTGTTGATACATTCATTAATTTTTGGGTCTCCACAAGCTCTTATTGAAATGCTTTTTTCATGTACTTTCCAACAGTGGTGCAATCAAACTCCTATCCTCAACTGTGACAATTTCACCAGCATTTTGTACAACCGCTCTATTTCATGTACAAGTAAATTTTTCGAAAATATATGAACTGAGAAATTGACACCCCAAAATTTGTGGCATTCAATGGATTAAAAAATTCTCATGGTTGATACAATAGCCGAAGCTTTGCTGAATTGTGAAAGCTTGAGATTAGAAAGTTTTTCTACACTTTTTGCGGAAAAATTTAGGCAACGGTTCATGAAGAACTCCAAATTTTCGATTCTTTTTGGGCCAGAAATGCATAGGTTCAAGAAGTGAACATTTTTGTACTTTTATCTTATCTTTTCGCAGAGCTCCTTCGTCGAAGTCGTTCTGGAAACGCGTAGTAGAAGTTACTCATAGGAAACAGTTCAGCTTTGTTACAGCAAGAGCATGTCACATTCGCTCTAACAGTTCTTAGCAAAAAATACACCAACTATGCATATGGGACGGCGATCTGATCAAGCAAAAAGTTATTGAAAATTGCTTCCAAACTTTAGACTTATTAAATTTTTTGCGCTTGACCGTCTTATAGAGATTGCTCACTTTATCTTATATATAAAGCTGAATGTCTGTTTGTCTGTCTTCTGTATGTCTGTATGTCTGTATGTCTGTATGTGTGTACGTATGTTCCGAATAAAAAATTCCATTTTTGAACCGATCGGGACCAAACTTGGCACACATACACTTCGGGCCCCGGCGGGTGTCATAGGCTACTTTTCGTCATCGATCGATATCGTATCGATTTTTTGCAAAATTTGAGCTACGGGGCTGGGAGTTGGCACAGGGGGGTAATCGAGCATGCTGATCACCCCCGTGGGGGTGATCAGCATGCTCGATTACACCCAAAAAATCGATAACATCGACATCGATCGATAACAAAAGGTGGACTTTGACACCCGCGGGGGCCCGAAGTGTATGTGTGCCAAGTTTGGTCCGGATCGGTTAAGAGATGGAATTTTCTATTCGGAACATACGGCAGAGCCGGGTAAGCCAGCTAGTCATATAATAAGTTACTTACACTTTCTACCCTGCTGAGTAGCATAAGAAATATGCATTAATTTTTTTGACCATTTAACAGTATCTATGCTTGCTCTGAGGTTTGCTTTGTGGAATTTTACAAATGACATTTAACAGTATCTATGTTTGCTCTAAGGAGTTTCACAAACCTCCGCTATCGCAACCACATACTCTCAGAAGAGTTGGTGTGCAAACAGCTTAGCATTGCTTTGACAAAATAAGTCAATTCTCGTTGTTTTGATTTCCTGCAGGTGGAAAAACGCAATAAATCTACATATGGATGCCTCATGGAGGGAGTATATGTTTTATAATTAAGCAAGCTGTGAAGTCAATTTTCTAAGGGTATACACACGACTTTTTGTAAAAATTATTGGTTTTAAACTTTGGCTTGAAACTTCAAGGCCTTCAAACTTTCTGCGAATTTTCAGGCTCTACGTTGTGGTTTGCTTTGCTCTACCAAATGGTCCCCTTACTTTTTTGCTATAATCTGAAGCTCTAAAACGTATGATGCGATAGGGCAACTGAGTTAGATATAACAATCTGAATTAAAACTGTCAGTCGCTTGATTAATATAGAAACGGCGAGTGCCAGATTGTAGCAAAGTTAAATCAAGAAACTAGCAGCGCGCTGCCGCGGGTTAAGTAATCAACAAACTTATTATTAGTGAAACTTTTTCATGATGTGTTGCAAAGTCACGCTGCGAGAAATTTTGATAGCTCGAGGTACAAAATCTTCGAAAATTAGCAAGACATATAATCATGAAAAGACTCTGACTGAGAATGCATAAGTACACTGTTTTTTTGGACGAAAAAATATCATGGTTATTTACAAAGTGAGTGTAACAAATATGGATTTCTCTATACGACATTAGGAAGGAGCGGTGCACTAGGAAAGAGTGAAGGTAACGATAAAAAGTCGGTCCAATACCTAGTGTAACATGATAGATTCTCCTCCCGCAAGCTATTTGGAAGAGAACCCGAGTTTTATATTAAGGGAATATGATCTTCTCTAACTCTCTGTTCTCAAATTTCAGCGCTTCCTCAGCTAAGGCTTTGCGAAAACGCTTTTTTTTAATACGCATAGGATAAAATCTTAATATCCAATAAAATCAGTTAATAAACGACTTTCTCAACCTTCTGCAAAAAAATCATATCAGTTTACGTAATGAATCTGTATCAAGTTGCACAGGTGATGAAAAAAGTGATGCAGCTGCTATCTACAGCACTTGTAAGACCTTTCCCAGAACTTACACTGGTTCATAGGTATCGACACGAGATAGCACCAAAATCTTTTGAGAACAAGGTCTCCATCAACTGTTTCCATGGAGGCATTTACAAAAAAAGCATGTACAAGAGAGAAGAAGTGTGAATTTTACAGAGAAATTTCGAGGTATCATAAAATCAGTGTTTCAATATTTGTCTAGAAATCCATTGACCTTGCAACAACATTATACCGTTGCTTTTCACTTCAGCAACATACAGTCTGTGCCACCAACGCCAAGCCCTGCTTGTTCATTGTCTTTGCCCCAAATCGAGCAGCTTATTGCTGTAATGATGTTAGGTTCGTATCGTGATTATACCTCATAGATTTTGTACTGGACCGCGCTTTTTGGACAGCCTTTTGCATGTTTCACTCCTGAAGGCAAAGCGCTGCCTTTAGGAAGCACTGGTATTCATGATCAGCTGATCAAGTTCATGGTAAATGAGGTAGAATCAGAAAAAGAACATAAGTTTAGTTTAAGACCGCTCATAAAAATAGGTTTAGGGCAACTTAATTCTTGTATGAAAATGTTGCTCTGCCAAAGCCACACATACAATACCGCTCACATTTTTTGAAAAATAGACGCGAATGTATGGACATGTATGGACATGCATGGACATGTCGCTACATGTCGCTACATGTATGGACATCACCGTCGCGTGGCCATATCTCGCTTCAGAGTGGACGAATTTTGAATCCAAAACCACCATTCGATTCAGCTCGGCGCGAAGAATCTTATGATATGTTGGAAGTGGGGGTACAATGTCTTCGATATTCCGTTTCCAGTTTTTTCAAGTTCTTCTGCGGAGTTCCTTTCGCGAACATGTGAAGCAACGCCTACCCAACATACGCTAAAAATGGCTCAGACTTCTTTCCAAAGGAGATAGAAGCGTTGGTGAATGTTGGAAAAAACACGCGTTTTTAAATTCTACTCGCCATAACTTCCTTCGGATTAAGTATGTTTCGAATCCGAACAGTGCCTTGCTCATCTTATCAAGGCGAATCTTTCTATATACACCATGTCCTTGATACCTCGATTTCAGTATTCTTGAATCTTTCTGAGGACGTCTTTTCGCGAAGGTGTAAAGCAGCGAGCATTGTCCCGAGTACATTCCAGCAAGGATCTTTCGATAGTACTTTTTCTGTGGATTATGATGTGCTAAACACTAGCCGCAGATTTCTTTTCAAAGAAAATAGAACGGCTGGTGAGTTGTGGAATTATCTTGTCGTCCCAAATTCTACTCGCCATAGCCCCAGGATACGAAGCTATCTTGCTAAGCAGATGTGAGTTTCGAAATCAGCAGCGAACACGAACAGCGAACATAATATCTGCAACGAGCGTAATACAAGCGCTCATGGAGGAATTTCGACGTGATATACGATCTTTAAATTTTGGGCAAAATTTATGAGGAAGTGTTTTCGTAGGCTCGTACGGCGAATTTCACAGACTGGAGCCTGAGTCATGCACCATTCTATAGCACAATTCCTAGTAACTTTGACTTAAAAAAGCAAGCAGGCATGTTTTCTGACAGATACGCGAGAAGTGCGGGCAAAGCTACCCACATTCGTGATGCAGTTACAGTCACCTCACCGTATCTCTCCAAAAAGACCCTGTAATCCTCGAAGACCACGATCTTCGTAAAGAGCGCGTTCGAAAACCTCTATAAGCGAAGTTTCCCTACAATTCAAGAGCAACAACATTTTGACCAAAATCATTGGCGAGCTTCCGGAACGTGAACGAGAAAAAATAGAATAACCCGAACATATCGGAAAACTTGCTCGTAGAGGTTATCCGACCTGCTGATTTCGAAACTCACATCTGCTTAGCAAGATAGCCTCGTATCCTGGGGCTATGGCGAGTAGAATTCGGGACGACAAGATAATTCCACAATTCACCGGCCGTTCTATTTCCTTTGAAAAAAAAATCTGCGGCTAGTGTTTAGCACATCATAATCCACAGAAAAAGTACTATCGAAAAATCCTTGCTGGAATGTACTCGGGACAATGCTCGCTGCTTTACACCTTCGCGAAAAGACGTCCTCAGAAAGATTCAAAAATACTGAAATCGAAATATCAAGGACACGTTGTATACAAAAAGATTCGCCTTGATGAGATGAGCAATGAGCTGTTTTCGGATTCAAAATTTACCTAATCCGAAGGAAGTTTTGGCGAGAAAAATTTAAAAACGCGTGATTTTTTTTTTAAATTCACCAACTCTTCTATCTCCTTTGGAAAGAAGTCTGAGCCTATTTTTCAGCGCACAATAATCTACAAGGACACTATTATCGAATAGTACTTAGTAAAGTCTTCTATGTTGGATAGGCGTTGCTTCACATATTCGCGAAAGGACATCCGCAGAAGAATTTGAAAAAACTGGAAACGGAATATCGAAGACATCGTACCCCCATTTCCAATACATCATAAGATTCTCCGCGCCGAGCTGAATCGAATGGTGGTTTTGGATTCAGAATTAGTCCACTCTGAGGCGAGATATGGCCACGCGACGGTGATGTCCATACATGTATGGACATGTAGCGACATGTCCATACATGTCCATACATTCGCGTCTATTTTTCAAAAAATGTGAGCAATATTGTATCGTCGCCTCCCTGGTGTGCGTTGGGCGGAGCATTTGCAGACATTTGAACGAGTTGGTGACTTGTTAAACCTCTGCTGCAAAGTGTGGTTCTTTGTACATTTTGAATTGCCACGTATGTATGCCGTTGTCATACGTGGCGGTGTTGGTAGCGAGAGATCACAAAGAACAATGCCTTGCAGTAGAGGATTAACAAGTTCACAACGTGTTCAGATGTCCGCAAATGCTCCGCCCAACGTACACCGGGGAGGCGACGATAGCTGTCGTTAATATTCATTGAAATACTATAACAGCAGGAGTTAGCAGAAGTAGACTGCTTGAAGACTAACACAAAGAAAGAGCTTTGCACGACACAAAAGATCCTCTCACAAAGAAAGCAGAAGACTGTTTCCAAAAACTTGATGCTTTTATAAGGAATTGATATGAAGAGGATGTGGGCAGCCACTTATGTTCATCATTTCTAAAGCCATAATCTTGGAGAAAAAGAATTTGCCTTTTGTATGTCAAAATAGCGCAGCAGCGTTTGTTATCGTCTCGAACTTTTTCAAAAAAAAGTTCTAAATATTCATTCTATAGGGTGTTCAGGATGTACACAGTGTTTGACCGTCAATATCTCCCGTTCCACAAGCTCTTTCGGTCACCCCTCAGCTGCAATACTGTAAAACTGGCTTCGACTCACAAGCGAAGCATGTTTAGTCGAAGTGGCCTTTTTATGCTTTCTGCCTTCCTTGCCTCTATGGCCTTCTCTTTTTTGCTTTCACCTTAAATTTTGCAGTGTAGAACTAGTTTAAGATTACAGTAGGATGTCAGCAGCAACACCTCTCAGACGGCAGCCGCGAAGTCACCGCCTAGCCCTACCAAAAGCTCTGCGCCTTATCCTAGTCACTAATCACTTCGCGCTGAAGGCCATATAGCAGCCCGCCCGCTGCCAGTTGAAGCAGTCAGTTTGCTATGCGATTTTCAGCGCAAAACTCAATAAGGTACTGAGATTTTGGGGGTAGGCGGTGGCTGTTTCGTGGCTGAGAGCCTCTAATTGAGTAGTTTCTTGTTATGCTCATACAACAATTGAAACTTTTGAACTTAATACTACATCGGTAACTACACGTGACCAGTACTTGGAGATGAGAGTATGGAGTGGAAGAAAGATTTGCTGTGGCAAGCTTTAGCTCACGTAGAATGCATCGGATATGTCAAAAAGTGTTTTATTAACTGAGAGAGATGTGATTATGTACTACTCAAAAATCTACAGCACCTCAACAGAAACGTATGCAGGTTTTCACAATTCTCTTCTCGTCATGGGTACGAACTTCGTTAAGCTATGTCGCTTAGTCGTCCTGCACTGCCGCGCTTCTTCGATTCTGAATAATGAATTACGAGTTGCCATTTACGAGCCAATGACAGAATCCCGTGGCCTTAGCTCAAGAAGGTCGTGTATTGCACCACAAGGCCTTCACCGCTTTATTTGGAGATGAGTGGGCATGACGCGCCAAGCTATTTTACGGTACTCTGCACCTATTTTGCGCCCTATCAGCCACTAGCGAACAGTGCAGTGCAGCTTCGTTCACATTCTTGACCGCGATGTGGGATTTCCGTCAGACGAAAGGACTGAGAAAATATTCGCACAGATTCCAAGCGTCCAACATCGCTCGCCACAGTGTTAAGGTGCATGATAGATAAAAGTTTTCGAACTCTTTGTTTCGTACGGTTTCATGTTTTTATTAAAAAAAACGGTAGCGATAAAGTAACACATTATCAAACATTTTCAAACACAAATCAATAACTTTTCTTGTGTGAAACTCAACCGAGTATGTAGGAAGAGATAAGGGAAAATTACGGTGTTAAATGTGTTACTCGAAGACATCCTTGCTGCTAAGTTGCACAATGTTTCTTGCTCATATAAGCTTCTATGTCATAGAAATTTCTCAGCTCCGTGAGCTTCGTCCTAGTTGGGCTCTGTAAATATCCCTGAAGGGCTCTCAGTCACCAAATGCACTTTGGGTCCACTTTGCAGCAACAATCGAAAAAAGAAAACAAATCTCATTGCCGTTGTTGCAGTACATTGAACGTATTGTAAGCAGACATGTTCAACAAAAAGAAATGGTTTTTATGTAAGTACCGGTGAATACTTCAATTTAGCTGGCTTTCTTCCAGCACAAAATCCTTAACAACACTGATTAAGTTTATGATGATTAAGTTTATGATATGCGAAGCAGAGTTACGAGGAAAGATAAATTCTTTCCAAGTTTAAGGCTTTTATTACTAAAGTATCATAAACCTTCTTCTTAAGACGTGCTTGAGCTGAGCAGGGACTTTTTTAGATGTTTCTTTGGGATGTAACAAAATTTCACGAAGTTCTCTTTGACCTTCATAGAACCTTGCTAACCTTACTTGTTTTTTGGATCTAGAATTTCACTCATTCCGTTTGAGATCACAGAGAATCAAATTTCTCTCTATCCTAGTTTGCATGCACTGATCACCTTTTTCAGGATTAGCGCCTGAAACAACTCCGCTAATCGCCCCTCCCTCACATCTCCCTCCCTCACACTCAACTTCCTTTTCCTCTTTCTCAGCCCCTCCCTCTTCTCCCCTCTATTCACCTGCAAATGACAATACCAACTGATAGCACAGCAACGAAAGCGTTATTCTTAGTAATCTTCAAAACAATAGATGATAACAATGAAAAATGAGGAAAGTATTGAAACATGTAGCAAAACAAATGAGTCTTTGAAGCCACTTCAAGCTGACTGAGAATTGAAAAAAGAGAGGCAAACATAATGAATACCGAGCGTCCAAATCCACGAGTAGGCTTGTTTTGCGCGTTCTGGTCGATCGTGATTGCGCAACCAATGTTTTCCAATAACTATAAATAGAGCGCAGAGAAATTGGAATGAGATCACTACTATATAGAAATTTTTATTTGCAGATACAACCAATGAAATGATGAAAAATTATGCGAACAAAGCGAGAGAGGGGGTTCTAGCTCAGCGGGTACGCCTGGCGGTACTGGCTTATTTGAAAATGTTGGTCGCAGCCTTCACTTGTGTAAGTTTTCAAATTAGCCATAATTCGAGGTCCTTCACACGCAAGAGTGTACACCGATGCGGGAATGTGTTGAAGCATGTAAACTATGGTCGCGTCTAAACTTTTCAGACGATAAATATGGGCATTTTCCAACGTATGTGTAATTTTCTTTTTCTTGAGGTTTCGCCCCGAACCCCGTAAGAACGATAGATACCTTTACTTTTCCTAAAGCGATATCAGTTTGCCCTGTACCGGTTGTGCCAGACTTCTTTTTTTCTATTCTTTCCTTGCATGAGAAATCCAATTCGGTTAAGCCATCTGCAGCAGTACGCTGAATTGTTGCTCCATGTCCAATATTGCTCATATAATTTGTAGCGTTGTATCCATATGCATTAGCCAAGAGCAGATTGATGGCGGATTGGTCGTACCTGGAGAAAAGAATGGCTTATCGAAGAAGATTTTTTGCCGATAGCCAGCGAGGGATCTGTACCAAATGCAGACTATCTTATGCCTTATTACTTTGATTTGTTTGCCCATCATTGACAGAGGTTCAGTTAAACGCACACCAGTTATTTTGCAACAGTCAATGCCATCTTCAGCTGCATTTCTCCCATCATCTGCACGCTTGATTTGTACAACAAGAGTCGCTTTGTTTTAATTGGAGAGTCATCAAGTCATATATGCACAACCTTTTTCGGCCTTACGATGCACTGAATGCATGGTGGTTTGACGTTTTCAGCGCCGTTGCGATCAAGTATGTGTTCATGGTGACGTTTCCAAGTTCGTGCTCATGATTGACGCAGTTGCTCTACCGTAGGCAGCAGCGGTGAATTTTGGAAAGATATAAATTATAGGCAACTTTTCGTAACATGTCTTTCTGAACCAGTGAAGTATCAGCGTTGAATATGGAATTTTAGAGATCAACAACTTGAAAGGAACAAAAAAAGAGAATATTGCTTTTATACGCTTTTAGTGAGAAGACACCTTAGCTTTGAGCTTTACTGATTCAAAATTTGAGCGAGCCCAAACGAAATGCTGACGAGTCAACTGTATTAAAATAAGATTTTTTTGCTTGCTTCACCCATACTCGTCGCTAGTCCAATTGCAATTTGGAAAGGCTTTAAGCACTGAATTTCTTTTGTTCAAAGTCCAGTTAAACTCATGACTCATCATCCAGAAGCGCTCCGCAGATAAGGAAGACAGATTCGAATCAGCGTCTGAAGCCCTTTGCAACTATATGCACCTTAACTGGAAAGGCCACTTCAACCAAAAATCCTTCCGCTGTCAGATACTGCTTGCGTGAAGCTTTGTCGAGTAAAGACCGCCCTTCTATTTTCTTTGAAACACTGATTGCGAAGCTGCATAATGATCGCGCAGTGAACTTCGCTGAAGTGATAAAGAAGGTTTTAGAAGAGTTCAAACCATGAAAAAAATTTTAATTTCTGTTTACAAGTTTGAAAACGGCAAAGCAGCAACCAGTAAGGACAACAAAAAAGGAGATCAAAGTCTGTAGAGAAGGCATTCTCGGCTTTCAACTTTGCCCAAGATGGAAGGAACTTTAGTGATAAGGGATGTTATTGCTCGTTTGTCGGTGCCACTCATCGACATCATCTTACATACTATACAGGGTGCGCCAAAATTACCTGTGCACGTTTCCCTGCTTGAAAGGTACTATGTAGACGGGCTTGAGGATGGATCAAGTTTGCGTTTGTTTTCACCAACAATCATTATCGCAGTGCAATAATCAAATCAGAATTTCGTTGCTTTATCTCTCGAAAAAATCCCACTTCCTTTCTTCAAGTGAAATTTACTCCGTGAAATGTACTCTGTACGCAAGTTGACTTTGAGGATTTATATAATATCTTTTTCATAGCCTCTACTCTTGCTTTGTAATTGCGCACGAAGTAGAGCAAGCCTTCGCCTCTCATACTGCTGAATGTGGAAATCTAAAGATCCATTTAAAGCGAGTTTTTAGTTTTTCGAAAGCATAGCTGAGAGACGGCATACGAAAATTGGTGTAATTTCGCCCCTCCTGAGTGCGACTTAGGATCAGAAAATGTCTTCTAAATCAGATTTAAAACTATCTCAACTAATCGGTTCTGACTGTGTACTCTTCTGCATGTCCCATAAATAAAGAATTGCTTTTTTTGGAAGGTTTTGCATGTCTGGGGCCTAATAATCGATTTTGAACTTAAGGTTATAGCTCGTACAAAGGTCTTTTTTCGCAAATACATTTCCTTATTTCTAGAGGGAACGAATTCTGCAAACACAACTAGATCTATGCGGTAGTGCAAATTGGTCCACCACCCTGGAAAGTCTGGAAAGGCTTTGAGTTCATTCAATTACAGAGCAAATTATAAAGGTGTAAAAGTTCCATTTTGTAACGGGGGGAGGTCTAGTAGTAAGTCCCGATAAAACCTGATCGATGCAGAAAACGGGTTTGAGTACAAGAATTTATCCTTGGCACAAAACCAACAGCAACAAGAACAATAACAACGAGTATAGCTATGTACAACAACAAGATCCTACTCAGTTTGCCCTCTCAGTGGGGTTTTCTAGCTTTCTTTCTTTAAGCAGAAAAATCTGCCTCTCTTCGACGGGTCTTTGAGACTTCCTCTAGCGCTACTTCGCGCTCTCGCTGGTCTTCCCTGTCCACCGGTATTTATACCCTGCTGGCTGAGAAGTCAAATTCCCCTCTTTTTTCCCGTCATTAAAGATTGGTAGATCGGTGATCCGCGCCATGGTTTCTCAATAATGCTGGTCTGTCGCTTTTGATTATCAAATTCTTCAACTGAGGTCTTTTGGAATTCAATAAAATATCTTGTAGAGACTGATTAGTGCCTGCTATGACATCATTTTGAGCTTGTATTTCTCAGTGGTTTCTTCGTTGAACCCTGTATATATATTATTAGGTTTTTCACGATTTTTTCATGATCGCCCTTATAAGTCGTGGTCTACATCTTGAGTTTTTTCAATGCATCTTATATATAAAGCTGAATGTCTGTTTGTCTGTCTGTCTGTCTGCCTGTATGTATGTCTGTCTGTATGTCTGTCTGTCTGTACGTATGTTCCGAATAGAAAATTCCATTTCTGAACCGATCGGGACCAAACTTGGCACACATACACTTCGGGCCCCGGCGGGTGTCACAGTCCACTTTTCGTTATCAATCGATGTCAATTTTATCGATTTTTTGCAAAATTTGAGCTACGGGGCTGGGAGTTGGTACAGGGGGGGGGGTATCGATAAAGTCGACATCGATCGATAACGAAAAGTGGACTGTGGCACCCGCCGGGGCCCGAAGTGTATGTGTGCCAAGTTTGGTCCGGATCGGTTAAGAAATGGAATTTTCTATTCGGAACATACGGCGGAGCCGGGTAAGCCAGCTAGTCATTCGATAAAGCAAGCAAGTTCTACGAAGCGGCATTCATTCATGTAAGGTTAGATCCACATGAGGCTTCTAGCCAAATCCTGAAGAATTCTAGAAATTTCAAAAATTCTTATCTCCGTAAGAAACTCTGCGAACCTTTCAATCGCACATACTCTTGAAACAGGTTCAAATAAACTTATTGCACTTTTTTGATGCGTAGTCAGTAAAAAACAAGGCGCTAATTTCAAAACTTTGCCCGTATCTGTTTTGTGGTACTTCCTTATGTTATCATATAGCTCATTTATTTAGAGTTACAGCTGTAAATTGACACACTCGTAGGTCTCTTAGTTTTGAAAAACGTCATTCCAAGATTCAGACGTGAAAAAACATGCGGGACAATTTATACCTGTGACAACCTGCGTAACTGATGTAACGGTCGTTTTTAAAGTTGCAGCTCAGCTTGGCTCTATAAGGCGCCATGCAATCTTCTTCAAGTGCGCATAAGACATACCTGAAGTCAGTCATTCAATAGACTTCGAAAGTCAATCTCAATCACCATTTCAGTATTTCAAGAGCGTCTGCAGTTCTAACGACAAATGCGAAGTTAGCATCGAGATTCTGAGTTGCCTTGATCTTATCAATATCCGTTGGAATGTAGCTGTACATCCCTAAATGTGTAATTTCAAGATTTTCATGAAGTAGATCCCTAATTTTTTTTGTCAGTTTCATTGCGTAAGTTTTTTGATATGGGTTCGATCAATTGATAAGTAGCATTTCTCTCATAATGTGTGCAGAATTTGACACAGATGTTTCTTAACTTTCCATCTTGAAGCACGCGTAATGCAGCGAAGCGGACAAATCTTTCATTTCCTTTCTTAGTTGAGTTAAACTGTTTTCGTTTTTTGGCAAGTTCAGGGGACCATTTGATGGAGCGAAGGCAAAATGTGCATTAAGATCCACCTAAGTAATCCTGGTGAGATTTGAAGCCAAACTAGGATTTTTCAATTGCCCTACAGATCGGACCTCCTCCCGGAAAATTTTAACGGGCCTCCAGTATGGTCATCGTACACCAAACACACAACATTATCCAAAAAGTAATTTAGCGGATTTTTCTAGGATCCAAAGTCAAGAAATATTAGCCCGAAACTGCAAAATATCACTTTTTCGGTTCAAATGTTATTGGTTTTTTATCATCATAGCACATACAGAGTTACAATTGAGGTTATATTAGGTGGGTGCAAAAGTTTTGTCAGTTTTTCTAATCCATCGGCAAACACGCTAGAATGAAGATAAATGAACGCTTCAACATGTATCTGATGCAGATTTTCTTCCTCTTTTCAGCTGCCAAACTCCCATTGCGTTTCGTTGAGAGAGTGATGAGATAATTGCTAGAAACTGCAACCATTCGTTTTTACCATGTCCACCACTAATTTTCAAAATTTTTGTATGGGACTTTTGGAGGAGCCTTAATAACCAGCAGATAGGGCAAACCTTTTGCCAACAGAAGCAATTTTTGTAGCCCTACGACTTGTCTTCCAGAATTTCTACGATTTATTTTTTGAAGTGACCAAATTTTACATTCAGCCTATTTTGACCTAGTAGAACATGAAATGGTGAACACTTCAATTACCATTCGATGCAGCTTTTTCTCCTCTCTCTAACAGCTACCCTTTCTTGGCGAGACACGAGAAATTTGGAGGAAAAGTTGCAGTATTTCTCTATTTTACGGGTGCGCACTGTCGTACCCTATGTTTCCAAATCTTCATAATTTGAAGCGAAAATCGCTCATCTACTTTGTAATGGTAGCGGTAGTAATAATCGAGTGTTGAAACCTCAGTATTTTGTAAGTTTTGCAGTGTTTGGCGCAATAACAGCTTATACGATTTTTCCAAAACACAAGACTTTTAGAAAATTATTTAGCAAAAATCTGAAAAAGCAGCTGAAAAAAGAAAAAATTGCTTCTGTTGGCAAAAGGTTTACCCCTGCTGGTTATTAGGGCTCCTCCAGAAGTCTTATACAGAAACTTTGAAAATTAGTGGAAGTTGGACATAATAAAAACAAAGGGTTGCAATTTCCAGCGAAAATCTCATCACTCTCTCAGCGTAACACAATGTGAGTTTGGCAGCTGGAAAGAGAAAAAAATTCTGCATCGGAGGCATTTTGAAGCGTTCGTTTATCTTCATTCTTGCGTGTTTGCCGATGGATTGAAAAAACTGACAAGACTTTTGCACCCACCTAATATTTACGCTTGCAGATATACAATCACACAGTAGTATTCATATGGGGGAAGGGCTGGGGTTGGAGTTTGCTAATTTCGGATTAGCTTTATTTTCTCATTATCTATGCGCAGAAAAATCTTGCAAATGCATCTATGAATACTACTATGCGTTCATTGTATGTAAACCAACTCTACCTGTACTAAGACTTAGGCGGGGGTCATTTTGTAGGGCTTGCTTCTCGCTATAGAATGGTACCTTAAATCTGCTAGAAAAAGATAAACAGCTAAGTTATTTAGAAAAGGGTTTACTTTTAGGACAACCCAATATCATCACCTCGATTGTTGGTCAGCTCTAACAAGTAAGTGTATCTAGTCGAGCTGAAGAAATTTTCATAATGAATCTGTGGAGCTCCCTCAATCAAATCTTATTAGTTCATCAATCTACTCGTTCGGTAAATGATTTGATACATCATCAAACTATCGTAGTTCAACCAAATAATAGGTCGCTTCATAAGTTCGTAGAGTTTTCATTCTCGCTCTCATTTCTTTGAGGAGCGGTTGATTCGTGGCGAAAGGCGTTATCATTTAAAAGAACTGATTATGCTCTTTGAAACAAACTAATCATCTTCGATCAAAAGCTAATCTGCTTTGATTCAGCTTCCAAAAAAGAATTTCTTAAAAGCCAAAAAAACCATTATTAGCATTTGCTCAGTTTTTCTTAAAAAAAAGCGTTCTGCACAGATTTTTTGCCGATTATAAAATTTGGCGTTTTCTGGTCAACATAAGACAAAAAGGTCTAAATTGCTCCAAAAAACAAAGAGTTTGCAGGGTGTTTCCTGAACAAGACTTTTCGCAGGGAGTGCAGGAGGTACTACGCTGAAAATTACTTGACAAGAAAAGACGGTCGCCCACAGCGTATACAACCAGGCTGCACCTTTTAAACGAATCCCTATTGCAAAAGCGTAATAAACAGGTTAGTGGGCTTTATCGCGCGACGAAACTTCGTCTTCTACGGCAAACGTCGTCCTAACTGTCGTGCAAGATTTAAACGGGAGGTACATTAGCATCCGATGTACTCCTGAGATTTCGCTCTAACATATTATCACCTGTTCCAGTCTATCACAAATCATACGAACGATGTCGGTTTTGATTTTGAAGATGATTTTAGGCGCCAGTCAAACGAATTTTTTGGGTCCAGACCAATCTGACGACATGGTGACAGAAGGTTGGGCGCTGCAACAAAACATACATTATTGACTGATTTTTGCCGAAATTTTGTCGCATCGCTGATTTATAAAAACTCTACGGACTTATAAAACGACCTAATACGTTTGACCAACAAAGCGCTGAAAAAATCTTCATTTGATTTTTTAACATGACCAGACGAAAGAAAAGAGGTCATAGGAAATGTGGTATAAGAGTAATTATAGATATGTGTTTGTTGCCGAAACACTATCTTTGATAATACTGAGCGATGCATCGAGAGATCACTCTATGTTTGTACGAACTGTCAGGATAAATTTAACTTTGCTCTCTGCTGGGGTAATTTATTTTGATGAGTAACGTTCGTTAATACGGGTTGCTCGCTTTCTGGAGTAAGATTCACAACCCTAAAGGTCAACCGTAACCTGTGCTCTGTGAATACGAATCCTTTCTAAGGTAATTCCCTCAAAGGTAAGATTTACCTTCAGAGTTCACTGATGAATGTATATGTGTGAATGAGTGAATGATTCGCAAGAATTTTCTGGACAAAGTCGTATTTTTCTAATTTCTTGAGGGTTTCAAAACTTTAACACAATTGTAATATCTATTTGCCAACTTGCAGAGCTTCACTGCTCTATCAAATGGCTTTCTGCGACATATTAAGAAGTATAAATGATTATCACGGTAATACTCAAAGTTCAAAAAACATATGATACAACCCATTATATGGCTTCAGTACCTGCTGCATCAATACTTCTGAAAGCCAACAGCGATCTTCGCTTGAAAATGTCCATTCTTTTGCATTTGATACTTGCTTACTAAACTCCTGCACATCGTCTGACCATAGCAGAAGGATGACATGCTCGCGAGTAGCGCTTTAAAGCATTTACTTGAAACAGCCTCGACTAGACTTTTTCTTCACACTACGGTTGTTGTGACAGTTTTAGATAGCACCTAATTCGTTGACTGATTTTTTACCTGGGTGAGTAACGGCAAAAATGCTGTGGCCCGAGTAAAAGTGAAGCAGGAAGGCAGGCTGCAAAAAATTAGTTACAATCTGTAAGATTGTCATACAGATCAAAAATCACCTTTCTGCATTTTGGAGTGACTGTTGTAGCAGAGAAGAACGATCTAAAAAAGTGAATTTCAAGCAAAAAGCAACAAAAAGAAAGTGTAGAAAAAACAATGCCAATAAGTCTTGCCCCGAATTTACTAATCCTTACTCGCATGCAAAGATAAATTGAGTCTTGTCCAGGCCCGATAGTCCGCAATGCGATACCTTCTGGGATTACTTCGCTTACATTCATAAAAATTGTGACCAAGTGCTGTTATCTGAACCGGAGCAACAAGATGTTTTCGTATAGTTTATCTAGTTCTTATTTGTTGCAGGCATGTCACCATACTCGCTGAGCAAGTATCTAAACTTTTCTTTACCAGAAAACATAATCTCGGCAAGACCCATCTCTTCGATGTGCTCTCATTGCTGATCGTATGTCTACTTTCTTGTGTGCCATCAAAGCCAGCGAAGTTTAAATTGAATACTGTCTCCAAACGTCGTGCTATTTACTTCTATATTTCTATACTTATACTTCTTGATTATAGCTTCCCTGTACACAAGTTAGCCTGAATTAGAACTCACCAAACGTATTTTTGCAAACGACACAAGGTAACAAAAAGATGCCCTGCATGCAATGCAAATTTTTTCGCCGTGTCTTATTATTTCGACATAAAAAAGTAACAGGAAAACTTTTCTGACTCTCTGGCCTAAGACAGAAAAATTCCATTGTAAAAAAAAATCGGTTAGACGACGTACTGCCGCCGCCGCTGTTGCATCGAACGTGGCTCCTTCAAAGGCTGCTAACGGCATAGCAGGCTTAGAGCCGCTTTTAGGCCACTGCATCAAGAGCGGCAGTAATGTAAATTGAAGTGGTCCTTCCAAATTCATCCACTGCTGGGTTAAGCCAAACTGGGAGGCGTACGCGTGCACGCTGCCAACGCGCAGTGTTATACTTGTTAGGGTCGCGGCATGAAAAGCTGCATTGGACGCTTCTATATCACTGCAGCATGCCCAGCATGAGTGGCGTATGCGGCGCAATGTGGCCAAGCTTTTCAATACCGCAAGAATTTTTTGCAATGACTGTTCAGTGCGGTTTCAAAGTCAAGATAACGCTGTGAGTTCGTAGACAAGTAAGTTCTACAAAGTCTATGGGAAATTTTATCTTTAGAATAGGCAGTATTGTCGATTCGTTGACCGCACGGATAGACCTCACTGCGGTGCACGCGCCAGCCGCGCCGCGAGTGGTTCGCAGCGTTTGAGCAGTCCGTGTGGTCAACGAATCTGCGATCTTGTGATGCCTTCGTCATCACACTCTTTTGTACTTCAAAATAAATCTGCAGAATATTATTATTGTGTTAGTAATGTAAATGATCCGTTGTTCGTCATAGTGATCTGCACTCGCGTAGTAGATTGCAACCTAAGAGTGCCGTGGTGGAAATGAGCGCTATAAAGGCTCACTCGTTGCCTTAATCAGTTCCATTACTTACTCACCCGCCTCTCATACTTTTACCGTTCTTTTACTAGTCTCTAATTTAGTTTCTAATAATTCTTCCCGATTCTTCCTGTGCCGCCCAACAGACGATGACGACAAAGAGTGCCCGAAACTTGAAGGGCAATAAATATTATAAGATTGCAAAACTTCTAATTAATTGGCAACAAGACGTATTCGTTTTCCGCAACAAAATGTGAGGGTAATATTTTCCAGAGGATCAAAAGCAAGGTTAGATTTCTGGTGCCATATGATGCTTTCAAACTATAATGAGTTCCTTCGGTGGGATGTTTCGAGTAATAGCTGAAAATCATTGGATAAGATATCCATGATATCCGATACTTGCTAAAGACGAACGCTAAAGACGAGCTAGCAGATTTTGCGTCACTAGGTTCCGAATTCTTGCAATGTTAGATCTTTAAATTAACGCTTATAACTTTTCTCCGACTTTTGGGATTTTGGCTGCTGATGAAAGTATAATTTGACTTGCGAAACTCGTTTTCCAAGCTTTGTTACGGCAGGTGATCTCACTGTACACGATGTCACGTCGATCGCTTTTCCATCGCACAGAAGTATCCATGTACCATAAGGCGCCAAACTCTTTCAACATCATCTTAATCAGAGCGTTCAAAAAGCCGTGACAAAGTAGAATCGTTTTTTTCTCAAAAATGCTATGAGCAACTTACTGCTATGAGAAGAGGTTTCCATCTGTACTGCGTTAAATCATTTACGTAATGCGGATAAGCTTCAAATGGAAAACTGCGCACTTTCACCAGGCACTTTTTCTGAAATGCCTGAGTTAAACAAACTCGGCAAATGCTTACCTCTCTAGGCGCTTCACTTGCAGTTCCTTCTTTGATTTCGATGTGAGACCCAAATCGTAAACAATTACTTCTTGACGTGGCCAGAGACTGCGGAAGTTTGCAATCTGGAAGAAAGACAAAGTTGTCTGGCTGCAAGGTTTTCTCATTAATGATTTACAATTTCACTATTTGAGCCCGCGCGTACACCTCGCTGACGAAGGGAAGGAAGCTGTGAGGGATGCCCTCTCGGTATCCTGAGAATATATACCCTTTGTTTTCTACCCATCTTCCGGAGGCTCTACTACCTACTCGAATATCTTAGCATCATAAATGGCAACGCTTTGGCAGATTGACAAGCTAGTTTTTCGTTGTTTGCATTAACCCAACTTGCTATCAGTTCACTGAAGATTTCGCTATCCTGAGGGTTTATGTTATTATATATCATTTTATTTACAAAAAAGGGCGCCCATGACTATCAAAAGTCTTGAAAGTCATTACGATATGAATGAAATGGAATTAGCACAGAAATGTAAGACCATTACTGAAGAATGTCAATCAAAATTTACAAAGTTTAAAGGCAGTTTGATACCACCAAGCTAACATAAGGATAAATTAGATTTATTGTGACTACCTTTACAAAGCCGAAATCAAGACCATAGATCGCAGTTACTTTCTTATCACACCTCGACTTCGATATCCCCTTTTTTACCCAAACATGCGTAACACAGCCATGTTAGATCTTCAGAACAGCTTTACTAGATTATCGATTTGTGGAAAGATAAATGATTAGCGATATCGTGAGTAAATTTTTAGAGATCAGGCAGATGCACTGTCATTCATTAGGTTAGTATTGTAGTAGTGAGTGCAGTGCATTTTGATGTAGTGTCAGTGTGCCTGCATTGCCGAGATTTTGCGGTGAAATTTGCGAACAAATTAATGCCGGCTAGTTCGCGCGCAAAATTGGAGTAGCTATGTGTCCGCGTGCATGTTTCATAACAATACCTCGACCACAGGCATATAATTGAGGGGGAAATCTACTACACGGTAGAGCCTCCAAAAGATGGGGGAGGAAAGGTGGAATACAATTGCTGGTATAAAGAGGTATAAGGCGTCTTTTCACAGCTCTTTCTCCCACTTCGAGAGGGCATGACCGTGCATACGGGGGTACAGTCTGCCCCAGTCCTAAGGCTAAAATCGGCATGGCGAGAGTCTGCGCCGCGAGGGTTTCGCGCCACATCTGCGGCTAGCTAGTCTGCTCTCTCCTCGATCTCATCACTCTCTACGACAGCGCTCGTGTGCAGCGCAATACCATAGCGCTGCGAGCGCGCAAATTCAGCCGACGGTTCGGCTTGATCCCGATTGGGGCAGACTGTAGCTCGGGAGGTGGTTTTTGAAGTTATGTCCTATCGAATGTGATCAATGACAAGTTTTGTGCCGGAAAACTGGGAGTTGATGTACAGGGAACGTGTGAAGAGGGATAAGTGCATGCTAAAAATATCTTCAAGAACATCTGCTGTTATCATCGATATTACTGATTTTTGCGCTTCCTTCTTTATCGAACCCAAAAGAGAGCTCGGCACAGCTGCCACCGTTTCAAGCTGGATATCGTTTTTGGGACAAAAGCAAAGGAATATGGTTTTGTGGCCGAGAAGACACAAAGCGTCATTTGCTTGACCAATGTTTCGTTTCTTGAGGGTCTTTAAGTTTTGAGTCTAGGGTTAAAGGTGACTTCGTACGGAATTTCAAGATCAAGGGGGCTCCGTTTTGAAATTTCCCTGATGCCAGCTTGTGCCCAACCGTGATCCAGAAGTAGCTGCTAAAGTGACGATATGTTAAACCACTGGAAAACTGTTTTGGGAAAAAGGATCTGTTTGTAGAAAGCAGAATAATCTTATGTTTTACCATAACATGACTGACAAAAATTGGGCGTAGCCGTACATCCAGTCAGTTTACGATTGTGTATCGATGGAAAAGCTCCGATACCAAAGAGACAGCTAAATGTGCAAGAGTGACGTGTAGAAAATTGGCATGTAACTTGGAGTCTCTGTCAACCATTGGACCGAGATCTAGTGTGCTAAGCTTTTCATACTAAGGTAAACGTAGCTATACCAGTGTGAGCCCCTCCAAATAGTGATTTTCAGACATGGCGGTCACAAATGGAGGCTTAGGCATCTCCTCTGACGTCATATCAACGACTTTTGTTTTCGATAGCATTCCTAAACATTGATTATGTTCCTCGCGAACAGATCCAACGCGCACATACCAAGTTCGTCAAGATATGAAGAGAATTCGCAACTGAAGCGTTTTCCTTTGATTGCCCAGTCCCTTGGTAAATGGTAACAAAAATCATACACAACATTTTTGTAGGCGCAGGAACAGTTACTGTCCAGGTTCTCACCAGTAAGAGATTGCTGCAATTTCATTCTGATTGAGGTTGAGTAAAAAAGTATCATTCATTTACCGTAAGTTTTGTTGGTGAAGAAGAGTTCAAAAGGTATAATATAAAGAAGATTGTGCAAAGAGCTAATAACAACGTGGTGTTAAACATTGTCTTGATTACGTGACCATTGATAAACCTGAAAGTTCTCCGAGATTTTGTGAGTATTGTGGTTGTGGAAGCACAGTAAAACAGTAATGGCATTGAAAGTCAAATTTCCGGCAATTCGGCTTCATAGCTTGCGAAAGGTTATTGAATGAGGCTCGAGCAGTAATATTGCTATAAACATTATCGCTTCAGGCAGTTTCCTCATAAAGTATGTCCCAATCCCAATCATGCCAAATTGCGTGGCGGAATGCGTCGCTAGGGTTCTGCGTTGCGTCTGCAAAGTGCTTGCCTGCTCTCTCTACAATCTCTTCGTTCACTCCAACAACTGCGCATATGCAGCGCAAAGCCTTAGTGTTGCAAGCGTGCAAACTTGCCAGCGCTTCGGAATAATCTCAATTGGCATTGGCTATGCTCACTTTTACAATTTTCTAAAAAGAGGTATTGATGACATGTTGGCTCAACGCCTATCCTTCGTTGGCACACTTGTAGCTCATGATTATCTCGAAACAAAACAGTTGATTAGATAAAAGTCAGACAGCATATGGAAACGGTTTTGTATCGTCAGTGTTAAAAAGACAGAAAGTTTCCGAAAGTCAAATGAGTTCAAGCGTTGGGAGAGGGTAATAAGCTTGCTCAAGAATATTAGCGTAACATTCAACATGACCAGAACAGCACATTCAAAACGCGATTACAGCACGTAACGTGGTTCACTGTCATTTCTAATCATAAACAATGTCTGTTGACTCTAATGACTTGCTTTGGCATTTTAGTATAAAAAGGGTGTGATAACGCATTTTTTGATAATCAGTTTTACTGACAGATTTTCGAGTGGTAAAGCATATTAAAGCAGTTGTAGTTCCTTATAATTGCGTTCACATTCGCTTCATTTTCAAGTAGCTGTGAATTCCGGCTTCGCTCTATGCCTATCAAAACGCTAAATTAAAGCTTCTCTACTTCTACCAAATGTGGCCCTGACTCTCTGCCACTTTTTCATGCCTCCTTCCCCCCAACTTTTCGTCGTAGTTAGCATGTTCAGTTACCCCTATGCTCCAGCTCTCAGCTTGTAGTCCAAACTTTGCAAAAAATCAAACTGATAAAGGTACTCATTGATACTGGAAAGTAATAATTTTGGCAGTCAGTGTGCTCACTTACTTACTGCCCAGTGCCAACTCTCAGACCACACGTACTTGAATCTACACATGGCTGCGCAAAACGTGACCCATGACTCAGTGCGAAATTAGCCGCCGCGCATGATTTATGCTCCCAGAGGACGCTAAACGCAGTGGTTTGTGATTCTTTGCACACAGTTCTGCCGTGTGAGCGATTTTTTTTTTGCATACAGTTGCATATTCTCTGCTTGTTGGCGTACAGTTAATTGGTGAGACGCCAACAAGTGCGTTCTTTGCATAAGTGAAAGCGATGTGACCGTCGCAGTTGGAGAGTATTGGTGTCTCCCTAAATCCATGCCACAAATCGTAGCGTGAAGTATCGTCGATTCGTTGGCCGTACGGACTGCTCAACCGCTGCGGACCACGCGCGGCGAAGTTAATGTGTTGCGAGAGCACGATTTTAACAATGGCGAGTTTGTACTGGAGCAAGCGTTTTACCTCGCGGCGCGTGCTCCGCGGTTATGTCCAGTGCGTACAGTCAACGAATCAACGATATATTGTACAGAAAGAACTCTATTGATGCTGGAGTGGTTTGAGTCGGATTAGCTAATGCATGTTTGTTTTTGGAGCTTTTGCTTATTGCGTAGGCACATCTCGAAGTGTTCTGTTAGTCCATTGATGGACTGATAGACAGTACCACAGATGTCTTTGTGTCTTTTGTTGCTGACATGCGTTCATACCTTCAACTGTATTGAGGTGCGATTGGGCATTTTGTATGAGTGAAGTAAACCATCAGTGTATCAAGCGCACAATATGTGCTTTTCCGAAACCAAAGTCCTCAGTAATGGTTTCGCGTAAATCTTGACTTAGGACCAAGAAGAGGAGTAAGCTTTTATTCATCAAAAACCATCTCAGTGACTTTGAGTAAGAACTGTTTGACACATTCGTTTTGTGAGTATCAATTTGTTCTCTTACCAGAACATGTAGACAAGATTCTTTACAAAATCACAGAGGCAGTCTTGCACGTCTGACTAAGAAATTGCTGTCAATCACTGATGCGTGGCACAAGGTGTAGGGATGAATGTGTGGTGGAGCTATGAGCTGTCTGACAGAAAACGTAGTTTCCACAGTCGAAACATTGCAGCGCTTATCTCACAAATGAATGTTACTATCGATAAACGCTTACAAAAAGTGATCAAATATAAGTCAGGGACTGCTCCTTGATCCATCGATCGCAGCTGTTCGTATCAAAATTCGGGTTGTAAGCATGCATTGCTAGGTTTGATTCATGTAGTTTTTTGCATTGATGACTCCCTATCAAGGCCAATCACTAGTCTATAGTTCCTACTCCTTGGAAGGTGCAAATAGCTGCTTAGCGACAAACTCATGAAGAATAGGCATGCATCTATTCGCCCTAAATCAGACTCACTTCTCAGAACAGTGGAACTTCCCATATTGTTGCAATGCAGGTTCCAAACGGGGGTGGTGCAGGAGGGACCAAAGAGCTGCCGCTTGTATCCGCGGGTGATAATTACGAGCGCGAAAATGGAGAATATTTTGGCAAGAATCCAAAGAAACTTGGCAAAGAACATCCTGTAGGAACAAATATTCATAACTTTGCCTAGAGATGACTTATAAAAATTTCAAAAACAGATTTGTAATGCAGATTGAAAGGCGCATTCACTGAGCCCAAAAATAAGTTAAAATTGGGAATTGTACTGGTAAGAAAACCATCCTTATAGGAACTTCTTTTTTTTGTGAATTTCGAAGTTTTAAATTGTTGAAGGCAGGAATTTTCATTCAAAATTCATTTCTTGCATAAGGGAGTAGTTTACCTTTTGAGTCAATGAACCACAATTAAAATGTCATAAAGACACATTTGGGCTTGTGTCAAGATGTACTATGCAGTTTGTCTCTAACTTCAAACCTATTCTAGTTCCAAATTTTTTCATAGGATTTACGCGAATGTCGGCAATCGTTTCGAAGCTGTTACAGTAGCAAAAGTTCATCACATGCAACTTAGTTGACATTATTTTTTGCCACTCCCTACTTCTAACTTCAAATCCATAAATTTCACTGAAGAAAATCACTCAAAGGCAGTGTCCAAGCAAAAAGTCGATTTCGAATTTTTGTGCTTACCTTCGCCTATCTGCTGTGCTGAATCCGAAAATCAACACTGAAGAGCGCGAAAACGGCGAAAAAAAGCTCTAACGGAGGAGGGAAATTGCAGGTGGACGGTGCTGTTCACATATTGGCGTCACTTTCCCAGCTTCAGGAGCGATCTTCTCGCTTCCGCTAACCACACTAACGTCACCACCACCCAACTGCGAAACGCATGACACAAAATCGGAACCGAGAAGATCGCTCCTAAAGCCTGAGAGAGTGACGTCACGGTGTGAACGGCCCCGCTCACCTGCGATTTCTCTCCTGCGTTAGGACTTCTTTTGGCGTTTTCGCGCTCTCCATTGCGGTCTATCGGATTCAGCATGGCGATTAGGCCCGGGAAAGCACAAAATCTCAAAATCGACTATTTGTTTGGACACTGCCTTTAAGTCTTCCACACAACATTGGACTTGAAATTTCTCAATTTTGATGGTAAATTTTGAAGGCCCATTTTTTTGGTAAAAAATAAAATTCGTGTAGCGAGACAGTGTTGTCTATCTATCCGGTAGGCGTATTACTGAAAAATACGCATTTTAAACCGATTTCAAATCTGTCCTTCATATTTCTGGAAGTTTATTCCAAGAAGACTCATAAGGGTTTGTTTCTAATGGATGTCCTTGCCAAGTTTTCCTGAATCCTCGCCAAAATCTTACCCACAGCGCTCGCGCTCCTAATTGTCTCCTACGGCTACAAGCGGCATGCCTTTGGTTCCTCCTGCACCGCATCCGTTCCAGACATCGTCGAATACTAAAGCTTTGTAAAGTTAAACAAAAGGAGAAAATCCTACTTCGGTGTTTTCGTTAAAAGCCAACATTGACACCCGATAGGTTGATAAAATAAAAGTCCTAAGTTCGTACAAATTTAATGAGGGAAGCTAGGCTCAGACTTCAAGACACATGCGAAGAATATATTCCAGTGATATTGCTTTTCAACTTTTAAAGAGACAAACTTTGATAAATAAATACGGCGATGAACCGTCCTAACACTGATAAGAAGAGCGAAACTTTAGAGAATCTCTTAGGCTATCGTAAGCTTCCAAGTACACTAAAAGTATTTATACGAAATTTCATTTCACCTTAGACTTGAGACACTGATATATGGACTTGGAAAAACTACTAAAGCATTCACATTCATTCATTTGTTAGAAGCGTAGAAAGTAAGTCCATAATGCCTAGCATGCTCCAACAGTGAGAGCCCCGCGCGCCGGAGAAATTAGCATTGGGGCATCGGGCGCGCTTTGCGTAGCCATGTGTAAATTTAAGTACGTGTTTCCCAGACCGAAGCTCAAAAGTTCGCAAAAATTACGTCTACGACACCGCCCCGCTCCAAAGTGTATGCACGCAAAGTTTGGTCCGGATAAGTTGATAAGGAAAGTTTCTATTCGGAACGTACATACACACAGAAACACAGACAGACACACAGACATGACAAGCGGATTCAGCTTTACATACACAATATGGGATATTGGGACAAGATTAACTTTTCCTAAATGTAGGCCCCAGCACGAAGTTGGTGGATTTCAAGCTGCACTTCATTTAGGGTAAAAAGCAAAGGTCGTCCATGCACATCCATATGCCACGTAATTCTCTGACATCCCGAGCCCCTTGACGAACACGCTTTCACACGATGATGAGCTCAAGCACAATTTTGATCAAGGCGTGTTTTTGAAAGTCGTTTCTTCGCACAAAATAAATGACTGTTCAGCTCACACGCACAGGCAATGAACCGACTTCGGTAGGTAAACGATTGAGAGCTAGAAG